GGACACACCTGTGAGGCCTCCTAACTCCCCAAGGGAGGGACCTCGGCCAGCCTCCCAGTGTCCAGGGACCTGAACTCTGGTCCTGAGGCTCTTGGGGCCCTCACAACAGTGGCCCCCAAATTCTTTCCTCTCTCCAGTAGCTTGTGGCTTTGTTCTTCCCTCTCCTTCCTCCCCTCCCTCTCCCTCCTTCCCTCTTCCTCCCCCTCTCTTCTCCACATTCTCTTCCTTCGACGATGATGTCATGTGTGAACATTGCCCAACGGCAGCCAGAGTAAATGGTGACATCTGGGTAAATAAGCCAGGTGGAGATGGGCTTGATGGCTTACCAGACGGTGTCACTAAAACTTAGGGAATCTTAATTCTCATCATGAGTTACAGTGATCTCATGTAAAAGAATGCAGTGGAGGATAAAAATAAATCAGACTCATAAATAAACGTGGAATTTAGAATTGGTGGAACAAATAACAATGTCGCCCTCTTCCCAAGCATCTGCGCCTTTATCCATAGCTGACCACTGGGGGGAGCCCACCTCCCCCTGGTCACTCCTGCCTTGGCAGTTCCCTTCCCCTGCTGCCCAGGCTTGGGGGGGCTGAGCTGAGGGCGACCAGAGCACCCCTCCCTCACCCTTTCCGTCCCCTTATTCTGAGCTGGGTCTCACCAGTACCAGGCGTCTTCCCCGTAGCTTGAATCTCTAACTCAAAAATCTATGGTTGGCTTTGCACACTGGGGGTCCTTGGAAAGAGGGCCAACCCGCCAGCCCCAACTTATTTCTCAGGCTGCCCCAGCCCCTGTCCCTTGAAGGCCTTCAGTCTCAGCACTCTGCCCCTTCACCAGGGCACCCCAGCCCTGCTCCCCTTCCAGGGCCGCCCACACCTTCCCCTTCCCTCAGAGCTCCCTGCCCCTGCCTCTCCACCCGGATTCTTCGTTCCTCTGTTCCTGCCCCAGCAGAACCCAGGAGGACCCAGTAGAGCCCTGCTTACCGTCTCAAGGCCTTGGCACCTTGCCCCACCACACCCCTGCCTGGATGTCTCCCTCACTGCCCCCTGCCATTCAACAGGAAGCATCGATCTGCTCAGGGCGGCTGCTTGCTGGATTGGAATCGATTTCCCGGGCTTTCCACTGGGTTGCTCAGTCCAGGGAAGGTCGGGGAGGCTGTGAGGACTGGGAGCGGCTGGAGCGGCTCCGGGGTAATGAAGTAGGAAGGCTGTCCTGCTAGGGCTCAACAGCTCTGTGCCAGGAACGTCTTTCATTCAAAACCATGTACGTTCCCCTCCATGGTCTCGCCTGCTCCTCACTCGGTGCCCTTGGGCAGGGTTTAGGTTAACACCCCCATTCTACAGAGTAGTGCCCTTGGGCTCCCAGAGGGAGAGAACTGTCGGCAGACCGGATGAGTAAATGAATGGCTGACCCAGGGTCCCTCAGGGAAGGAGCTGACTCCACACCCAGGGAGTCTCTGGCCTGGCTTTTTGCCTAGCAGTGCTGTGACTTCTGGTGGCTGGGTCGGCTCAACGAGACAAATTTGCGCCCAAGCCCTGAATCTCCCATGGGCCTCCTCTCCTAAGGGTGACAGGGTAGCCCCCCAACCCAGAAGTGTAGGCACATGCTCCCAGGCCACTGTGGCCCTGCAGAAAGGAGAAGGAAATGCACAAGGCAGAGGGCTGGGACCCTGGGTTATGTAGGGGCCTCACCTCTTTCCCAGCCTAGTTTCTATGTTTGTCAAATAAAGCCAAGGATCTGAAAGGTTCTTAAACAGACTCTAAAGCTTTTCAAATCAAAGCCCCTCCCTCCCACCCACCCCTCTCAGAGACAGCTATTGTACCCCACCTCCTCCCCTCTCTCTGACGCTCCCCAGAACCCATTTTCTCCCTCACCCCTGACCCCCCTCTACCAATGCCTGGGCACCAGGGGTGAGCCCTGACCTCGAGGAGTCGGGGAGGCCTTGTCCTTGCTCGCTCTCTGCTCAGGCCTGCTCAGCAGCGCCCCCTCCACCGCTGCTGCCCACGTGACAGTTTTAGGACTGCAGCCACCAACAGGGCTGCGTGCGAACACATATCCACTGTCCCCACGGCTGCTTCCCCTCTGCCCTGCCCACTGCCCGCTCTGGTAGCCTGGACCCCTCCCTGCCAGCCCTGCCTTGGCCCCTTTAGTCCACCTGGGAGAGCCTGGGTGACCCTGGACCTCGCCACTCCCTGACTGTCTCAGGTGGGCACACTGTCTGTCCCATCCCAGACACCCTGAGGTCCCCCTCAGGCGCCAGGGAAGGAAGTGCTGGCAGGGAGGGCCGAGGAGACTTGGAGACCTGTCCCAGTCAACGCACCTGTGTGTCCAGAGCTCTGGGAGGTCCCTCTCGGGTGCAACAAGCTTGGCCGTCTGGAGTAAGGGAGAGACCGTGTGACGTAAGGGAGAGGTCCCTCAGGCTCGGCAGGGCTGAGCAGGGCTCTAGGGCTCCAGCCGCAAGGCTGAGGGCAAAATTCCCCCCTGCCTGGGCAGTGAGAGGGCTGCGGAATGTCCAGGGCCTGTGGCCACAGCTTTGAAAGGGTAGGTACTGGGTCCCCGTGAAGATGCCCCCAGGGTTCCCAGCCTGTCAGGAGCCACCTTCATGATTTCCTCCCTGTGAGGGAGCCTTCGAATGGGATTAATGTGGTGTATGTTTTGTTAGCTCACGTTGAACTTATGTTAATTTACTTGAGCCCTGACTGGTGTGGCTCAGTTGGTTTGGACACTGTCCCGAAAAGCGAAAGGTCGCCAGTTCTATTCCTAGTCAGGGCACGCACCTAGGTTCGGGCCTCGGTCTGGGTGCAGAGGAAAATGATCGATGTTTCTCCTCTTCCTCCCTCCCTTCCCTCCTCTCTAAACGAATGAATGAATGGGTGGATGGATGAATGAATAAATAAATTTACTTGAAAAGAAGCCTTATCTGTCTGCTACCCCAAGGAATGATATCCATGAAATCAGTGGTTGGACCTTCGAGTTGGGGTTTTTCTAATCCTTGTGAAAATACAGATATAGCTATTAAACTATTTAAAAAATACTTCTCCCAAAGTGTTCTCTGTACATCTGGAGCTCACTTTGGAAGCACAACAGAGGGTGGTGACCGAGAGGAGAGGGACAGATGCCTGGGGGGACGAGGAGGGAGAGACCCCAGGCCCAGGGCCAGGGCTGCAGCAGGTAAACAAGGAAGAATGCCCAGGGCGGGGTGGCGGGGCGGGGCGTGCGGGGTGGCAGCGCTCCATCAATACATCACTGTTGCCTTTCAGGAAAGCGCGGTGGGACGGGGTGGGGAGAACCTACTAGGCACAGGGGTCAGATCTGGCCTCCACCCCTCACTGTGGCCTTGGACATGTCACTGGACTTCTCTGACCTTGGTAGCCCATCTCGAAGTGGGGCCACAGCAGCATCCCCTGACAGGGCTCCTGGGAGGCTCATGGGCCGTGACAATGACCTTGAGACAGACCCTCGGCAGCTGCGGATCTCTGTGTGCATAGAAGTGGTTTTTCCCTCGGTCTTGGTGGGAGGGGCTGGGCCCTCCTGGGCTCCATAGCCCAGGGAGGGGTGCGTGTGTGTGGGTGAGGGGTGGCTTTTCCTCAAAAGTGGCTACGTTTCCACTTTCTCACTCAGATAGACAGGAGGTGACGGCCTGACTAGCAGTGGATGTGTGGAGAGGGGCCGAGCAGGGACTGGGCTGGACGGAGCCTGGCTGGGCCCCAGAATCTCAGTCTCCTCCTCTTTTGCCCCATTGGCCCTTCGAGGCAGCCCCTGGGTGTGGGGGTGTATGCGTCTACCGCAGTACCTGGCACCCCCAGACCTAGGCTACACGTGGGGGGTGCTATTTGAGGCTGGAGGACTGTCGGGCTGGGGGTGCACTGGGAAGCCTGCATTTGTCTCCCAGTGGGGGTGACTTCGGGGGATGGGGGAGGGCAATCTGTTTGATGCCTAAGAATGTGGCTGAGGGAAGCCTCAGCAACTCCCGCCGTCCCCTGGAACAAGCTAGAGCCACTGTCGCCTGCTGGGCGGTGGGAGGGTCAACCCTGAGACTGGGGGCTGGGCCTGGGGAGCTCAGGGCGGCTGAGCCTGTGGGGAAGGGAGGGGTGCAGAGCTCTGCGTGGGGACCTCAACCCCCGGCCTTCTCTTTTTTTGCTTCTGTATTGTCCTCTGTCCCCTGTGCGTCCCTTATAGGTCTTGAACTTGTGTGTGTGTGTTGGGAGACCACAAAAAAGGAGGGGAGTGGCGGGGGGGGGGGTCCCAGCAGGAAGCCTTGATCTGTTCTGTCTGCTCTTTTTCTCCTTTGAGTTTGTCCCAAGTACATCTCTCACTGTTCTCTCTGTGCCCAGTCTTGCCTGTCCGTCCATCTGTCTGTCTCTGGGAAGGGAGGGGAAAGAGGGTCCCATGCCCCAGGCCCTGGGCCTCCATCTCCTTGGGAAGCCCTGACTGTGACCTTTGACTTCGTACCCCACCCCCCACATATCCCAGTCCCGGCCCTTTCTGAGCCAATCCCCAGCCCTCAGGACAAGAGTGTCTTGGACGTGCCAGTCTGAGAGGAGGCTGGGGCTCCCTATGTCTCCTTACAGAATGCTCTGGAAAGGAAGACAGTGTAGACCCCTTTCTACAGCTTTCAGGAAGCATCTGAAAAGGAAACTCCTCCCCCCTCACCTAGTCAAACCAGCGTTAAGAAGGAGGAAGCGGATGTGTGGCTAGACAGGTGTCCAGGAGCCCAGCTTCCAAACCTCCTTTGGCCTCTGAGGACAACACCTCACCTGCAGTCGTCCTGCAAACCCACCCGCAGGAGAGCAGGGAGCTGGACCCAGCCCTCGCTCTCCACCCTCCGCCCCACTTCTGCTCCATCTGTCCGCTAGATCGGGGCGGGCCTCACCTGCCTCATCCTGGCGATTCTCTGCTGTTCCCAGGCCCGGCCCGCCCCTCCCCCAGTGACCCCGACGCGGTTGGGCAGCCCCAGGCCGGGCGCGCAGTGACCCCGCCGTGTCCCCTCTCCCCTCTCGCAGATCCCGAGCGGAGCAGCCCCCCCATGCTGTCTGCAGATGATGCGGAGTACCCGCGAGAGTACCGGACCCTGGGGGGCGGGGGCGGCGGGGGCGGCGGGGGCCGGCGCTTCTCTAACGTGGGGCTGGTGCACACGTCCGAGCGCCGGCACACGGTGATCGCGGCCCAGAGCTTGGAGGCGCTCAGCGGGCTCCAGAAGGCGGACGCCGACCGCAAGCGCGATGCCTTCATGGACCACCTGAAGAGCAAGTACCCCCAGCACGCCCTGGCCCTTCGCGGTCAGCAGGACAGGATGCGGGAGCAGGTGAGTGGGGGCCGGCTGCAGGCTGGGGCTGGGGTGGAGGCAACGGGCGGCCAGCTGACAAGGGAGGCGTCTGACCCCGTGCTCCCCTGCCCCCAGGCTCATTCCAACTCTGAGGATTCTGAGGGGCGTCTAGGGCAGAGAGGGAAGAACTGGAGAGTTGGGCAGTGGCCTTGGTTAGCCTTTTCTGGCGCCTGGGGAGGGAGGGGATGGGGTTTCAGCCTCCCCCTGCAGGACTCCCCCTGCAGGACTCCCCCTGCAGGACTCCCCCTGCAGGACTCCCCCTGCAGGACTCCCCCTGCAGGACTCCCCCTGCAGGACTCCCCCTGCAGTCCTGGAATTTGAAGCATGGGATTGGGCAGAGAGGGCCCAGCCTCTAACTCAAACTCTTGGACTGGGCAGAGGGGCAGGAAGGCTGCCTTGGAGGAAGAGGGGCATCTTGAGGTTCTGACCCTGATGGTCCATCCAGACAGAGGCGGAGCTGAGACCTTGGGGTTGGCGCCTCTGTGACGTGGCCCTGTGAGAGCCTCAGTGGGCTCCATCTGATGCACCCCCAGCCCCTGCAAGGACAGGGCCCTGGACTCCTGGGTCCTCGTACCTCCTCGTCTCCCATCCTTTCCCCAGAACTCTCTGTGTAACTGGAATCCACCTCTCTTGTGCCGTGGCTTCTCTTCTGCCATCAGTGAGGCTTAAAGGGGGGTTGGGGCTCCTGCCTCTGGCCCAGGGCCTGTCTTGTCTCCTGCTTCATGGGGGGAAGGGGATGCTTCCCTGTCAACCTCTCCTGGATCCTTGGGTTCCTGGATGCATCTGTCCATCCAGGGATGACCTTCTCATCTGCAGGAAAGTTCTTTCCAGGAACTAGCCTTACAGTCTGCCATTGGTGAGGGAACCCTGATGGCTGCTGAGACTCAGGTGTTGTCTACCCTGGAGGAAGGGACCAAGAGGAGGGTGGCACATCTCATCAGTGTCCTTTCACCTGAGTCTCGGGGTGTCAGCCCCTGCTCCCATGCCTGTCTTGCTCTGTCCCCCCTTCCCAGGTGCTGCTGGGTGAGGCTGTGGAAGGGGAAGGGTATTCCTACCCAGTCCTCACTGCAGGGAATAAGGACACATTGACTCATTTCTGGTACCTTATCTGCCCCCTGATGTCACACCCTGTTATGTCTGGATTTGACCTTTTCCCAGCTCCAGAGTTCTCCTGGGAACAGCCAGGAGACTGGGATAAGGGGGAGATGAAGGAGATATGGCCCCCACTCTCAGGGACACCCCCCCCCCCCGTGGGTTCCCTCTGTTTGCTCTGGCTTGGGAGGAGGAAATGGGGGCATTTGTGATCTCGATGGGGTGAAAGGATGGTTAAACATAAATATGAGGAGCCAGTCAGTTGGGAGAGGGTTTGGAGGAGGGGAGATCAGATGGGCAGGCCTGGTCAGGAAAAGCTTCCTGGAGGAGGAGGTACCTAAACTAGGCTTAGAAGGAGGGAAAAGGACTGCTGAGGCATTAAGAAAGAGAACGTTGTTCTAGGTGTTGGGATGGGGAGGGGAGCACAGGCTTGAGCATGGCTGGTTGGGGCTGGCGCAGAAGTCCACCTGGCTGGCGCAGAAGACTCGGGGTGAGCGGGAGGCGTGGGGGCAGACCAGGAAGGGGGGGCCAGATGTGGTGGCTACAAGGGCTGTGGTTGTTTTCCTCGGTTGAGAGGAGGGGACAAAAGAGGGGCTGGAGGCAGGAGGAGGAGCAGGAAGAGTGTGCATCCTGAAGGGCAAAGGGAAAAGCCTGGTGGGCTGGAGGGACAAGACTTGTTTGCTCTCTGGCGCTAAGAGGCAAAGACAGAAAAACCTGGGAGATGGAGAGATGTTGGTGCCTTGGAGAGAAATGAGAGAGTTGGGTGGGAGACAGGAACATGCAAGAGGAGTTGGGGGAGGGGGAGGGTACTCACAGGATGTCACTTACACACCGTTTGTACAGTTCGGGCTCTAAAGGGATCACAGCTTCGGAGAGGGGTTGAGCACCGTCAAATCAGAGTGGAGGTGGGACCTGGGGCATAGCACAGCCACCAAGGCAGAATGGAGTCTGTGAGGGCAGAGGGCCCGCGACAGCCTGGGAGGGGGACAGGGAACAGCTCTGCCTCTGAGGGAGAGGAGACGAGCTCAGCCGAAGGGGCCCCTGCGCTTCAAAAGTCAGGAGGGGTGGGAGAGAAAGGGCTTTGGGACTGGCCAGGATCGGTGGGTCCAAGGGGGTTGAGGGCCCGTTTCTGGGGTGTGGCGAGGTAACGGCCCCTTTCAGAGGAGACTGGAGGTGGTGAGGGAACAGGGCCCTTGTAGCTGCGGACCTGTCTGGGGAGGTTTGGCCAGAAAAAGACGAAGACGGCCAGGGCGGCGCCTGCAGGGCGGCAGGGCCACGAGAGACAACAAGGGGGTGTCTGAGGGCTTCATCCGTGTCTGGCATGTTCTTCGGCATGGAGTAGGCATCAGTGAATACTTAATAAATGAATCAAAGCACAGCCACTCACTATCAAATTCATCTGTTTACTCATCGGCTCACTGGCTCCCTCCCGTAGAGTGTAAGTGGGTAGGACCCACAGCGGGCTCGCTGGCCGTGGAATGCTGCGTGCCTAAGCACGGTGCCGGCTCAGTAAATATTTACGGGATGAGTGAGGATGAGTGAGGATGAGGGAAGATGCAGGGGGCGGAGGGGGTGGAGAGGGCCACGGGGAAAAGCCCTGGAGGAGTCGGAAGGCTATGGGCTTTGAGTCTTAGGTGTAGGATAGCCTTGCGGTGGGAGAGGAGTGGTGTCTTCCCAGCTGGCAGGGCAGGACGGTGCAGCAGGGGAAGGGACATATTGGGGTGAGGACCCCACAGATGGTTCTCACCACTGTGAAGCAGGAAGGGATATCTTCAGGGAGGGGGCAATGAAGAACTGGAGGAGGGGAGCAGTGGGGCGCAGCTCCTTGGTGGAGTGTACAAGGAGGTGGTGGAGAAATGAAGAAAAGGACCTAGGAGTATGTGATGGGGAAGCTCTTCCCCTGGGCTCAGGGAGCCCCAAGCCTGACAGGAGAGAAAATTGTACAGCAACAGACCCAGGGCTCTAGTTAGAGACCCAGCCTCACTAAAGGGCTGGCCAGTGTTTCTGGTCCCTCAGAGGTGCAAGAGAATGCCCCTCCCTGCCCACCACAGCCCCCCAGCGGCTCCTGCCCGCTCCCCCTAATGGGGTGTCCCCCGCTTCGCACACACAGGTTGGCGGCTGGACCGTGGACCCCGTGTGCCTTCTCAGCTCCCTCTGCTCCCACCTCCACGGCGACTCCGCCCCCTCCGGGGCTGGCCAGCCGGCCCAGGTGAGTCACCCACCTCCACCCCAACCCCAAACCCTTGTCGGAGTTTGGCTTTGGGGAGGATTATTTTTTGGAGGGGGGTATCCAGGACTTTTATTTTGCATCCCATTTTCATCCCCCTGGTGGTCTAATTCCTACCACTCCCTCCTCAAACCTGTAGCAAGGTTTGGCTTTGGGGAAGGAATATTTTTGAGGGGGAATACTCAGGTTTTTTTAAAAAAAATTTTTGGGTGTGTATTCTTTTCTCCTTGAAACAGGAGCCCCTCCCCCACCGTCACCCCACTGGTTTTCAGGAGTCTCTTTAGTCCTGAACTGAATTTCTACCCCACTGCAGACCATCTCACCCCCTTTGCCCCACCTCACCCACCCTTCCATTTCTGAGCAGACCCAGCCTTCTCTTACCACTAGGAAGTTCTTCATGATGTCTCTCTCCCACCCTTCTTGCTATGTTCAAGGCATAGTTTCAAAATTTTAAGGAGATGTGGGCATCTGGCTATTTGTTCTGAAGTTGTTTCCTGCTTTTCCATCCAGTCTCATTTTCCCTGATGGGAAGATGGTGCTTATCCCTGGACAGGGCTTGGTCTCCCAGCTCAGGACCCTGCCAGGGGAGAACAAGAGACACTGAGGCCCAACGGGTAGGAGGGGTCAGCCAGTGAGCGTTACTTGGAGGAAGGGCAGCCCTGAGGGGGCCTGGACTTGGTGGTCAGCTCCGGCAGGCTGAGGAGGCACAGGGTCAGGGCAGCCAGTGGTTAGCATGGGTGCCTGCTTCACTTCCTCACACACCTGGCTTCCCCTGGGGAGAGGCAGCCAGCCTTGACCTTTTTTAAGAAATAGATAAATAACTGTGTCAGCCTAAGGAAGGACCAGTCTCCAGAGCACCAATGCTTTAGCTGAGTGAACTCAAGTCTAGCAACAGATGGGCGTGGCGTGGCATCCCTCCCAGGGCGTTCCGCCCCCCTCCTTTCCCAGCTTTCTGCCCCATCTTGACTGAACTTCCTCGAACAAGATGTGTCTGCCCCCAAGACTGAATGGCAAGTGGGACAGACTTGTCCTGAGTGACCGAGTGCATGGGAAGGCCCAAGCGGGGCTGGAACAGGGGTGGTGAGGAGGCAGGGGACAGGTGCACTGCGCCTGGGGCACGCACAGGCCTCCCTGGACGGAGTGTCTGGGGGTTAGGTAAGGTTGGGGTGATGAAGAGGAGTGAGGCTGGACCTGATGAGGGGTTCGAGGCCTGCCCACATCTGCTCTGCTGGAGGAAGGAGGAGAGTTTGAAGCGACCGCTGCCTCGAACCCTTGGAATTCCTGAGAGAAGGGGCTCTCTGTGCACAGCATTGGGTCACCACCCGATACTCAGTGCTTGCCAAACACTTCCCATTGCCCATGGCTGAGCAGGAGGCTCCTCTTTGCAAAGTGCAGGACCAGAGATGTTCAGCAAGTGCCAGAGTCACACAGCAGAGCAGGATCAGAAGCCATCGAGGAAGCAGGCGGGCTAGGCCTCCCACACTTGGCTGGGAGTTGAGTCACGGTGGAACTAGCAGGCAACGGTGCAGAGCAGACTGGTGGGTAGAGGCCGTGAGCTCTTGTGGTGGCGGGTTAGGGGACAAGACACTCTCCAATCTCCAACCCCTACGCCTGATATTCGGAGATGGGGGGCCTGTAGAGGACCCTGGGAAGGGAGCAGAGGCTAGATTCCAAACCGCAGCCCCTCCCCCCGCTTCCACTAGGCTGTCTAACCTCCCTCCTTCCTTCTGCAACCCGAGTCCTGGGCTTAGGGCCGGCGTATCGGGTGACCGAGGCGACGCAGCCAGTAGCCTCTGCCGCTCCTCCGCTGGGCTGCGCCCGCGGGGCCGCGCCGGGGGAGGGGGCCGGAGAGAGGATGTGCACGGCGGCGCGCCGCGCAGCGCCGCGCCAGGTGGAGTCGTGGTTACCGAGGCGACCGGGGCCCGGGCCCGCTCGGCGGCGGCTCTCGCATTGCAGCAAAGGGCACCGGCAGCGGCGGCGGCGGCTGCGGAGGTGGCCGGGGGAGGGGAGAGCCCAGGCGGGCGGTAGTAGGGGCCACTCTCCCTCCCCTGCCTGAAGCGGGATCTGGGGCTCGGGGGATACACCTGTGGCCGCAGGTAAGGGGGAGCGGAGTGGCTGCGGGGGTCCGGGCTCAGGGTCTGCGGGGAGCCGGGGCATGGAGATGGGAGGACTGTTCAGCAGCTCCAAGGGCTGGAGGGTGCGCAGGCCTTTGCGGTTCCAGATCCCTGAGAAACGCCCCCTTCGCTCCCACACCGCGTTCGCCGTCTCCCGCGCGGGCTGGGCCCCCACCCCGAAATGCGGTGGGCGACCCCTCCTCCAACCTCGGAAAGTCATGACCTTCCGGGGTGCGTCCTCGCCCCCCACGCCGCTCTGGTCCCGCAACTCCCTTCCCCCAACACACACACTGCACTGGGAAGGGGTAGGAGGTGAGAGCACCAAGGAGCACACCTGGGGGAGTCGTGCATGTGCCTCGCGGTGGGAGGTGGCGGCCTCGGGATGCGTTACGTAGCTCCAGCCTAGGAGGGCGGGTGTTTACGTGGACGCGTGTTCACGGGAGTTGAGAGGTGGGTGTGTGCGCTGGTGAATGAGGAGCCGCGGTATTAAGAAGCAGGGGTGCAATCTCCCGTGAGGATGCGTCTTAAGGGCTCCAGGTCAAGAGGGGTCACGTACCTGCCTAGCCTAAGGGGTCGTCGGCCCAGGAAGGGGCGGGACCTCAGCTGTCTAGCTGGGGTAAGGTTCCCAGGGGGCAGAACCTCACCCTCTCAGGGAACAGCCTTGAGAGGGGCCAGCTGCAGGGGGTGGCAAAGAACCCCACTGAAGGCCCCTAGGGTGGGGGAGGAAGGGAGAAAACTCCCCAGCCCCCAGAGGGAAGAGGCTGTTCCCTCTTCTCTCCAGGGAGTTTGAGGATTCCCTGGCCTCTTCCTTGGGTCTCCGAGTAGCTCCCCTCCCCCATTTCTGAAAGCCTTTTCCCTAGAGAGTGGATGGAGGGCTTCCATCTTACCCTCTTTGAACATCTGACATTTTCCCTGGCCCCTGTAAGATTCTTCCCCATGGTGGTTAGCCTTTATTTTGCTTTCTCACTGTCTGATGGGAAGGGGAGACCCTTCCTGACTAGAGGGACCAAAACAGCTTCACCCAGGTTCTGGAGGTTTTGGCTTGAGCTGGAGAGCCAGACCCCTCCTGGGTCCTACCTCACCTCTGCCCTCCTTGATGGGCGGGGCGGGGGTCGGCTTATGCTGGGAGGTTCTTAGGGACAGGGCCCAAAAGGCTGAGCAGAGCTGGGTGCCAGGAGATGGAGAGGGTGGTCCTGGCTCAGGGTGTTAGGGATATCCCCCACCTCCCATTTTCTTGGCATTAATTCCTGGTCCAATATTTGTCGAGGGTCTGCTACGCACCAGCCACTGTGGTGGGCATGGCGGGAGGAGCAGATAACCAGGAAAGGGGCGAGGAGGTATAGGGTGCCTGAGGCTGACCAGGAGGGCCCTACCTGAGTGAACAAGGGAGGAGCCCTCTGCTCTGTCACCCAAGGCTGTCCCATGGGTTTAACACCCTGGAAAAAGGCAGAGATGGGTGGGGTGAGGGCGTGGGTGGCATCCTCATGGACCTCTCCCAGGCTTCCCCCTAGAAGGACACTGAGTTGCCAGGAGACTGTCTCATTCCTGGTGGGGCCAACATAAAATAGGGTCATTCGTCCCACTTTCCAAAGAGGAGGGTGGGCGGGACTCACTGCGGGCACTGTCCAGGCCAGCGCCCGAAGGCCCAGGGCTATGATCGCAGCCTCACTCCAAGTCCATGAAGCCCAAACGAAGCGACCCTCCCATCTTTACCCTCTAGTGGGATTCAGCTGGCCTTTCCTGTGGCACTGATGCCACCCAGTCCTTTGCCCTGGTCCCTGCTTGGAACCCCTCCCTGGCAGGTCTGACTGCCCCATGGATGTGCCAGTCTTGGGACCCTGAGGCAGGCCCACGAGGACATAGTCAGTATGGCTGTGGACGGGCCCCATCCCTGAACCCCTGCCGGAATTGTGAGGCGGGCCCCAGTAGCCATCTGCATGGACTGATTGGACGTGCGGGCTAAGTGGGGGTGGGGCATCTTCTGCCACTTTTGAATCAGGTGCACCTACCTGACACGTGGTGTCCAGGACATTGTAGGCATGGGACTTTGGCTGAGGTGGCCAGAGGCACCCACCCTAGCTAGTGGGGCAAAGGAGGGACGAGACCTTTTCTTTGTATGCCTGTCTGCTGTGTTGGGTGCTCCTACATCTAGTGTGTGTCTGTGTACGTATGTGTGGGTGTGTCTCCTTGGCCCTCTGTGTTTCTGTGACTCTCTGGGGGACATTCGAGGGGTGTGACTGGGGCCAGTGCCTCTGTCTCTGCCTGGAGTGGCGCCTGTGGCGGTGTGTGTCAGGGGGGAGTCAGGGCCCTGCGGGGGCTGCGTGTCTGTGCAGGAGTGGGGATGGGCCACCTCCGAGTGCCTCCGTCTCTGAGTGTGCTTGTTTCTGGGGTGGTTTCTGACCATGGAGGCTTCTCTCGAAGTGCTTGTGTCCTTTTGTGGGTGTGTTTTGTCGCTTTGGGTGTGCCTGTGGTGATGTCCTCATCAAGGATGTGTGGGAGTCAGTGCATGGGCTCGGCGTGGTGCAGGGGCTGCGGGAGGCCCGAGTGTACACAGGGTGGTGGTGGTGGTGAATGAAAGACAGCAGCCTTCTCTGCAGAGCTGTCCGTCACCACGGGCGCTGCAGACATGATTCTCATCGTAAACCCGCCAGTGCCCTCTGCCTGGCTCTGCCTGGCCCCCACGTGTCCACTCTCTCTGCCGCCCCTCCTCTTCCCAAGGCCACAGGCAGCTGTGTCAAGAGCCTGTTACTTCAGCCCCGTGCCTCCCCTCCCCTCGGCATTTGTGGGCACCCCTGGCACCCATGGGGGTGGCATGTGTCCATAGATTGTTCCAGGCACTGGCTGGGGCACAGACTTTGCTGTCCCCTTTCCTTGCCTGCCATGTTACAATACTATTTTTTGCATCTCTGAGATCCAGTGCCAGAGGGAGAGTGGGGGATCGTAGCTCAGACCAGGTAGATAGGAGTGGCCCTGGAGAGCGAACCAGTGTACCCCCGCTCTGGCCTGGCGTCACCCCCGCCCTAAAAAGCCTCTATTCCAGCCCCTGTTCAACTCCTCTTTGTCACTAAAGCATTCGGGTGACCCAAGATGCCCCGATGTTGGGTTCTTCTCCCACTGGGGACCCTTCAGTGTCCCTCTCCTCTGCCAGCGGCTCTGAGGCTTGGGGAATCTTGTTTGTTGGTGCCAGGCACCCCAGGGCCAGGCCATCTGCTGCCTCTTGTCTTCCCGCTGAGGCTGGCACCGGTCAGCAGGGTGCCCTTGGCTTTGCCAAGAATCGGTCAGGCCCCCGGGCCACTCCTTCCTGTCCTCAGCAATCCGAAAGGGCTTTCTGCCCTCCAGGGGAGGCCAGGTGTCCCCGGGTCACTGTGGATGAGGAGGAATCTGAGCCCCCTCCCCCTATGCTAGGTGTGCAAACAGCCCTGCCCTCTCCTCTCTCGGCCACAGGGTGTTGCCCACGCTCTCACTCCCCCCAAACCCCTCTGCTGCCCGAGGCTGCCACCCATTGCCCGGGGCTGTGAGGTGGCTGACACCAGCCCACCTTGCTCTGTGACCCGGGTTCATTGTGTTAACGGGCCTTTCCGCCCTGGCCTTGGTCTCAGGCCTCCCTCTTCCACTGCCTGCCCCATCAAGCCTCCTGGGGTCCAGTTCTAACTCCTCTGTGCTTCACTCACATACTTTCTGCTCATCCAACCTGTTAAGTCCACAGAAGTTTGCTCGGCATTTAAGCCCACTCCGCAGGCCCCAGCCCCCTTTTTGCAGCCTAATCTCTACCCTCCCAGGCCCTGTACCCCAGCCAATGGGATACTGGACTATTCCCGCTCCACACACTCTGTTCATCTGCCCCAGGGCACTTGCCAGCGCTTTCCCCTCTGCTCTGCTTGCCTTTACCCAATCTGAGCCGCTCATTTTTCAAGAGCTGGCTGAAATGCCACCACTTCCAGGAGGAGTTTCCTGGCCTGCCACAACCAGATGCCATTTCTCTGACCCCGCGGCTCTGATTCATTTCTGCCACAGTCTCATGGGTTCCCTGTATCACCGTCATTGGTGTTTTTTCCCACCTGCAACTTTCTGAGGACAGTTACTGTGACTGGAGAGTGTGTCTTGTAAATATCTGGAGTGGATCTCTCCACCCGCACCCCCGGAGCTTGCTCTGGGCCGTCCCGGGTCTCAGCAGACTACGGAGGTACCAGGCAGAGCTTCCTACCTGCTCCTGGGAGGGTAGGGGGGGCCCTGAGGGCCTCTGTCCCAGGGCCTAGTGCCGAGCTCCAAAGGTCTCTAACCCACCCCTGCCCCTTCGCTCCCCACCCAACCCTTCATAACCATCTCTTCTCTTGTTTCCATCAGCAGCCAAACTACTGGAGTTTCAAGGTCAGTGCGCGCTGCTTCTGCCTCCGTGACAACTGCATGTGCTCTCCTGCCCGACCTCTCCCTGCATACGCTTTGCACAGGGGTGTGTGGCTGCACGGGACCCTCTGGCGCGGGCAGAGGGCCTTGGGACTGCAGGCTGTGGCTGCTGCTTTGAGTCCGGGTTTGCCTGCCAGGGGCTTGTGGACTCAGTGTGGGAGTTCCGGCCGCCCCTGCTGGGGATCCGAGTTGGGGATACTCAGGCTTCCCCAGGCCACGACTGCTGGCTCTGAGGCAGGGGCCTGGATCCCCCAATCTTGTTGAGGGCCCTGTTCTCTGAACTCAGATCCTAGAACTTCATCTTCCAGGGAGGCCTTGGGACTGTGATGGGTCTCTCATCCTGTTCTGGCTTTTTCCACCATGGGGAGCTGGTCAATACCAGGCAAGAGACTCACAGCCCTGCACCCCTAAACCTGTTGCCTGGGTGGAGTGCTAATCTAAACTCAGGGATGGGGGCCTTCCTGCCTCCTCTGGGGAGTCTGGACTTTCTATAGCCAAGGAGCTGTGTGCCCCTCCAGGGCATCCTACAGACCCCTTAGGATGCTCCAGGGCATCCTCCGCCCCAAGGGGGAGCACCTTGGGGCCCCTCTGCCGTCTTCCTTAGCACCCAGGCCCAGAGCTGAACCAAGTTAGACTACAGCTTGTGTCCTGCAGCCTCTGGCCCCTCAAGTCTCAAGCATCATGACAGGGATTGAGAGGTATCTACCCCAGACTCCCCAGTGTCATCTTGCAGCAAGCGTCCTGTTTGCATGCATTCGCCCAGAGAGACGTCCTTGAATCAGAGAATCACGGCGTCAGGCATAGACTTTCTGGGGGAGGCAGTAGAGTGGAGTGGTTTAATTCAAGAGCCACACCACCTGGCGGTGAATTCCAGTCTGCTACTAACTAGTTAGGTGACCTGAGCAAGTTATGTAAGCCCCGGGGCCCGGTTTCTGCTCTGTAGGCACAACAATATCTGCATCGCAGAGCCTCTGTGAAGAGGGAAGAAATAGATGCTGCGTGTCCTGAGCACCGCGCCTGGCTCACAGGGCGCCCTCCCTCGAGGCTCATGTCATCCACCTCTAGAATCACAGGGGCTGACTCGATTCCCAAATCAGAATCATTCTGGGGACTTGTCGGAATCTTGAACCCCATGCCCCACACCCCAGAGATTCTAATTCCGGGAATGTGGGGCCCAGGAAAGTGTCTTTGAAAGCCCCCAAATGATTCTGCCCCAGTCCGTGGAGTGTTCGGGAACCTCCAGGCCCAGTCTGTGGCCCCCCTCACAGCTCCCTCTGTCTGATCTCAGGCCAGGAGTCATCGGCTCCCTGGAAGGCCTCCAGTGACAGGTGCTCGCTGCTTGCCCTAGCAGCCCCTTTCCTACCTTTGGGAAGCTCTGCCTGAATCACTCTTTTGTATTCTCGCCATCTCCCTCCTAATCGGGAAGTCCTCCTACACGTTACGCTTTCCTCTGCCCTGCTGTCTCACCCCAGGGATGGAGAGATTGACAACAGGCTTTCTCTCTTCTAAAGAGGGTTTCCTACGAAAGCCGTGAGACTAGAAGGGTGGCCAGGATGGAGGCAGGGCCATGGGGCGGGGAACGTGGGCATCTCTTCCCTCAGGCCCCCCTGTGCGGGGTCCTGCCTTCGCAGGACCCCGTAGTCCCTGGGATCCCCGCCCAGGGCCCTTCATTCTGGCCACTCTTCCATCTTCTCACTGGAAGCCCACCTGTGCCCCCCAGGCACTGTGGCCACCTCCTGCTCTTCATCCCTGCTAGCTGCTCCTTCTGCCTTAACTCTAGCCCCTCATCCACACCAGCCAGGCAACCACTGACCTTCCAGTTGCTTGGCAACCCCATCACCACCAGACCAGACCTGGTTTCCCATATTGCCTCAGGGCTGAGGTGAGAGAGAAGGTCACGGTCTGGCACTGGCGGTCGGCCCAGACCTGAGCTGTGCGACCCAAAGCCTGGGAGTGGGCATCCTCCTGTCCCCCTCAGCACCCCCATTCCCGCACCGCCTCCCCCCTCCCAGGACCCATGCCCACCCACGGTCAGGGCATTGTACTTGAGGCTGGACACCCCCTGAGGTCCCCAAGCCTGTCCTTCCACATCCCTCAGCCCTTGAGGCCACTTTGGGGACAGCTTGGCACATTGCCCATCAGAGGAAGATGTCCTCTCTTTTCGAGAGTGCTAATCCAATTGGAACATTAAATTGAGTTAATATGAAGATGGAGATTAATTAGGGGTTAATCAGGATTTGGGGGAAGGAGAGAACCGGGAAGAGAATAAATGTTTCCTTTTTAGAGGTACTTTTACTGTCTTTTTTTTAACAGTTATAAAAGTGACATTCTGATTGCGCAAAATTTGCCCATCAGAAAAACGTATAAGGTAAAAAGAGAGTGCTTGCTTCGGCAGCACATCTACTAAAATTGGAAGGATACGGGAAGGTTAGCACGCCTCTGCGCAAGGCTGGCACTCGAACTCTGAAAAAGAGAAGCTGTCTCGACCCCAAGACAACCGATGTTAATGGTTTTGAGTGATTTGCTGTTTAAAATGGGCAATTAATTTTATAGAGGAATACAATTGGGCAACATGATTTTTCCTGATAATATGTGTGTAATACTTATATGCATATGTAATCTATATATGTACGTAATGTACATAACATGAAATGATGTAGATCTGATATGTTATCTTTCTTAAATGAGTTTCTGACAATGACCAGGTTCGGGGGGAGGGGCCGGGGCAGAATGGCTGGAGCTGTGGTTGAATGGCAGCCCTAGCTTGCAGCCAAAAATAGGCTCTTAAAGTGCAATAGAAACCATGGTGACTCCTTCCCCATGGAGAGAGTAATCAGACTGTCCCCAGGGTAGGGAATGGTCACTGGGCGACGCCCTTCCCAAGCCCCAGCTGTAGCTCTGGCACAAGAGGCTGCCATGGCGGGTGCCAGGGCGGTGTTTTGGGAGGTCAGCTCAGTGGTGTGTGGCGGCACGTACCTTGCAGGGAGGCGCTAAAGCCTAGCAGTTAATGCCATGTGTATGTGTGGATCACACCAGGCTTAGCATGTGCGTTGCATGTAATAGGCCATCTGTGTGAACCTGGGGTCCAGCTGGCTTTGGGGGTTTGGGATGGTTTTCCCAGTTAACCCCAAGTCAAGGGCATTGTGCCCGGCTCCGTGAGGACCCACACCCTGCACTGCCAGAGCTGGTATCCTGGGGCCCTGCCTCCTGCCCCCAGCCCAACCCTCTGAACTCCACGAAGGATAAATTCACCGCTCACCAATCTGTCGCTTAATTAATGTCTGAAACTAATGCCCCGATTTGCTCAGCGATGCTGCTGCTCACCTCAGTGACAAATTTATGTTGTTGTTCTTTGGAAGCTTAAAATAGCAGGTGCGCCCACGGCTCCCACTCAGAGGGTTTCTCGTCTGACTTCCCAGGGCACCCAAGTCCTTTGCCCACTCCTTACCTGCTGGGCATCCCAGGGAGGCCAAGGCCCGGAGAGGCTGGGAACTCTCCTGCAGCCACACGGCCAAGTCTGGAGTCCAGGAGACCCTCCTGTGCGTGCCTGTCGCTGGCCAGCGGGGGTTCCCAGGGCCCGGATGGTGCAGCGGGCAGAGGGGGCAGAGCCAAGGGCTCGGCTCCATTCCTTCCATCCGCCTTGCCTCTGCAGACCCGCAGCGCACGCCACACTCAGGGAACCCAGCCCGGGCTGGCAGACCAGGCGGCCAAGCTGTCCTACGCCTCAGCGGAGTCGCTGGAGACCATGTCGGAGGCCGAGCTGCCTCTGGGCTTCAGCAGGATGAACCGCTTCCGACAGAGCCTGCCCCTCTCCCGCTCAGCCAGCCAGACCAAGCTGCGATCGCCAGGTACTGCCCGCCTGTCCACCCTCCTTCTGGCCACTGGCTCCTCCCCCACTCTGCTTGCCCTGTGACACTCTTCATCCGCTTCACCATTCCGTCTTTCACAGCCATCTTTCTGGAAGCCGCTGCCTCCCTTCCCCATCTCCCACCCCCCAGCGATCTCCTCTCCCCAAGAGCCTTTCCTCCTGAGTGTCTCTTCCCGGTGGTCTCCTTCCCTCTCCCCATCCCCCCACTCACCTCTCCATCATCTCTCCCACCCCTCTCCCCTTCATCAAGGACTCCCCCTTCAATTTCTGTCCCACCTGCTCCCGCCCCCAGTTCCATTTCCTCACCTAGGCTCCAGCCTGCCTGGGGTCACGGAGGTGGCTTCAGAGGTCAGCAGCATGAGGAGCGCCTGGGTGCATCTGCACTCTGGAGCAGCGTCGGGTCTCAGACCCTGCCTCTGTGGGACCGGCGCGGCTGCGGAAGCGCCCCCGCGCTCCCCCGGCCAGCGGCAGCGCCGTCGTGGTGGTGGTGCTGGTGGCAGCGGCAGAGGCCGCGGCAATGACGGCGTCTCCTTCGCAGGGGTGCTGTTCCTGCAGTTCGGGGAAGAAACTCGGCGGGTGCACATCACGCACGAGGTCAGCAGCCTGGACACGCTGCACGCACTCATCGCGCACATGTTCCCGCAGAAGCTCACCATGGGCATGCTTAAGTCGCCCAACACCGCCATCCTCATCAAAGACGAGGCGCGCAACGTCTTCTATGAACTGGAGGATGTTCGGTGGGCGTGGCCCCGAGGGGGGGTGGAATGAGTGGGCTTTCGTGTACTTCTCCTCTGTGGGGGGCTTGATTATGCAGGCCATTCCCCAGCCCCCTCTAGTCCCCCTCCCCCGTCCTTCGTCTTTCCTCCCCAAGCCCTGCCACCCCGCCCCCTTCCTCGGTCATCTCAGCCCCACCCCCTTCCCTGTAAATCGTCCTCCTCTGCTGGTTCCGGGAGTCTTGAGCTGACCTGAAACTGGCCGTGGGGCCGAGGAAGCGGACCGGGTGGGGGAGGCTGCTGGGTGTGTGTGTTGGTGGCAGGTGGCCTGAGGCACGAGATCCACTGAGCAAGGAGTTAGACAGGGGCTGGAGCTCTTTGCTCCTCTTGCCATCCCTCTTCCCCTCCTTGAAGTAGCTGCCGCTCCTCAACGCAGGGCTCGGAGATGGTGACCCTCTGACCCTCCCCCCCTCCAGGGACATCCAGGACCGCAGTATTATCAAGATCTATAGGAAGGAGCCACTTTACGCTGCTTTCCCTGGCTCACACCTCACCAACGGGGATCTCCGGGTATGGCTGGGGGTGCCCAGGGGTTGGGGAGGCTGGGCAGATAGGGTCCGGGAGCGTAGTAATTGGTCATCAGGAACCAGGCCCAACTTTGGAGAAGAAAACTTAGAGACCGAAGCAGAAGGGGCCTCCATTAATGGTGGGGTCGTGGGTCTCTCCAACACACCTCTAGGTATCCTAGACGACTCTTCCCGGAACCACTCTTTCCCGTTGGGCTTCCCCGCCCCTCACCGTAGCGTGGGCTGTAGGTTGCCCGTCTGGGCTTCTCCATCCGCCGCTTCTTTCTGCATTTGGAGAGCCCGGCTGGGAGAGGGGCCCAGGATACAACAGCCAGAGCGAGGGAAGGCAGAGAGCAGAAGGGCCTTTCCAAGTGTCAGGGGGAGGGTGCTGGCTCCGCCAGCAAGGGCACCGCTTTGTGACCATCCCTGTGGGGATCCGGGCCTGTCTTCCGAACAGCGAGAGATGGTGTACGCCTCGAGGGAGTCGTCGCCGACGCGGCGCCTCAACAACCTGTCGCCCGCACCGCACCTGGCGTCCGGCTCGCCGCCGTCCGGGCTGCCGTCCGGGCTGCCGTCGGGCTCCCCGTCGCGCTCGCGCCTCTCCTACGCCGGGGGGCGCCCGCCCTCCTACGCCGGCAGCCCGGTGCACCACGCGGCCGAGCGGCTTGGGGGCGCCCCGGCTGCGCAGGGCGTCAGCCCCAGCCCCAGCGCCATCCTGGAGCGGCGCGACGTGAAGCCGGATGAGGACCTGGCGAACAAGGCGGGCGGCATGGTGCTGGTGAAGGGCGAGGGCCTCTACGCCGACCCCTACGGGCTGCTCCACGAGGGCCGCCTGAGCCTGGCCGCGGCGGCCGGCGACCCGTTCGCCTACCCGGGTGCCGGCGGCCTCTACAAGCGCGGCTCCGTGCGCTCGCTCAGCACCTACTCGGCCGCCGCGCTGCAGTCCGACCTCGAGGACTCACTGTACAAGGCGGCGGGCGGCGGCCCTCTCTACGGGGACGGCTACGGCTTCCGCCTGCCGCCCTCGTCGCCGCAGAAGCTGGCCGACTTGGCAGCGCCGCCCGGAGGCCCCCCGCCGCCTCACAGTCCCTACTCCGGGCCGCCCAGTCGCGGATCACCGGTGCGCCAATCCTTCCGAAAGGACTCGGGCTCTTCCGTCTTCGCAGAGAGCCCCGGAGGCAAAACCCGCAGTACCGGGGGCTCCTCCACGGCCGGAGTCCCCCCTTCTGAGCTCTTCCCCGGGCCTGGGGAGCGTCCGCTCGTTGGGTTTGGGCCGCCTGTGCCAGCGAAGGACACAGAAACCAGGTGAGGGACACTCACGAGGCCTCAGGGCCCGGGAGGGAGGCGGCCGGGGGGGGGGCGAGGGGACACCACAGAGTTCGTGGCAGGGTTGTTGTGTCCTGGACACTGAGACCCCGGAGTCCTTTGTGGACCCGAAGTAGCCTAGTGGGGTCACCAGGGTATCTTGAATGAGGCAGGCAAGGCAATGGAAAGGTGGACGTGGTATTTTCCTTCTGTTTGCGAGACCTCAGGGGTGACTAAAGGGCCCCAGACAAAGACTCCGGACACCTGGGTTTACACCAGTTCCCTGAACCTGTTTCCCTAACCAAGACCCGGGCTGAATCTCTTTAGTGCCTTTCTCGCCCGGACAGGACGTGCAGCCGAGAGCTGTCCAGCACAGGGCCTGCTGAAGTCCACTGGGGCGGGGGGGTGCTGGTAAGAAATAGGGCTGGGGAGAGAGAGGCACATTCGCTTAGGTAGCCTCTGCTTTGGGGAGCTCTTGCCCATCATTCAGCTCCTTCCTAAGGACGCAGGGCTGGAGGAGGTGACCAGGGCACTGACCTGCCCACCTCTGCCCTCGGGCAGTGCTGCTGAGAGGTAAGAAGTGATTTACATTCACACAGGTCTTCAGTGGCCTGTGTGCCTGGCAGTGCACTGGGCCCTGTCAACACCAAGCTGGGCAAACCCAGCTCTGCCCTGTTGAGTGGGGGAGACATAGTTTAAAAATCCCTGTACTTCGTCTGGGAGGCTGTACAAGGACTCCCTCAAGGCTGCTGGGGACTCTGGGATGGCTTCAGAGAAGAGGTAGAGAGGAGGGCGTAGCAGGTGAGGGGAAAATGTGTGGCATTGCTGAGACGCAAGGGCGGGGCCCAGTGGGAGCCAGTGGTGAGGGGTGAGGCTGCAGAGGGAAGGGTGCCTGTCAGATGGAGACGGGCTTACCAGTGTTATATGGGGGGGTCAGCTGTGGACTTGATCCTTAGGTGTTGGGACCCTTTGAATTGTCTGTGTAATAGGGGGCTGGGCAGGAGGGATCCAGTGCCTAGAAAAGGGTTTGCTCGAAGCCACCATCCTCCCCAGGGAGCGCATGGAGGCCATGGAGAAGCAGATTGCCAGCCTCACAGGCCTGGTGCAGAGTGCCCTACTACGAGGTTCGGAGCCCGAGACCCCCAGGTGAGCACTTCTCCCAGCACCAGTTAGGGCCTGTGGCTGGGGCAAGAGGAAGGGGAGGCGGGCAAGGGAGCCCTGGGCTCAGCTCTGCCAGTGTGACTCTGGGTGTGGTGCCCTTCTCTGGGTCTCCATCCTGGGATCAGGGGGCTGGAGACTCATGGGCCCTCTGATAATCATTTTTTCCCTGTGTCACAGTGAGAAGATAGAAGGCTCCAACGGAGCAGCTACACCCTCTGCACGTGAGTGACCTTCCTCCCCTCCTCCACAGGTCCTCAAACTCTCCAAGCCTCAGATTCCCAGTCTGTAAAGTGGGGAGTTAAACAGCTATATCGCTGGGCTTGAAAGGATGAATGTGTAGTCACCTCAGCCCAAGATGGCTTTGCCCTGGCCCCCCCCCCCCAGAAGGGCTGACTACCATCTGGGGCAGGGAGTCTGAGTCATGTGCCTCTGTGGCTACTGTATGTGGGGGACCTTGCCCCAACGCTTCCAAGGCTCCTGATCCGTTCTTCTCCCATCCTTGTGGTCCCTGTGCAGCCTGCGGGTCAGGTGGCCGGAGCAGCGGGGCCACTCCGGTGTCTGGCCCTCCCGCACCCTCAGCCAGCAGCACCCCTGCGGGACAGCCCAGTGCCATCAGCCGTCTGCAGATGCAGCTGCACCTGCGTGGTCTCCAGAACAGCACCAGTGACCTGCGCGGCCAACTTCAGCAATTGCGGAAGCTCCAGGTACCGCTCCCTCCAGGACCGCTCCCTCCAGGACCTCGCTCCTGCCCCGCCCCCTCAGGACCCACCCACTTGCCCTGAAACTTTTTCCCATAAGTCCCGCCCCATCCTCTACTGGCTCAACCGAGCCTGGAGCCCTTCCCTGGGCCCCTCTCCGAATGCTTTCTCCCCTTTCCCTCTCTCAAGTTCCTGCCCCCCTCCCTGACTTTCTGTGTCCCCTTGGGCGGAAGCCCTTTCCCCAGATCCCGTCAGCTCCCCCGCCCTGTCCCGCCTGGCAGATGGTCCCCCCAGTGAGGAGCCTGGCATCACTGTGCCCGCTCCTCCAGAGGGCCCTAGAGCCCGTCAGGTGAGACTAATGAGCAGAGACAGGCTGGAGGGGGGGCAGAGAGTTGCCATCTGGGCAACAGATAAGATCTCACCCACACCCACCATTGCCCCAACTTGGCTTTAGAATTGGGTTCGAAGATTAAGTTGGTCTTCTCGTCCCAGCCACGGAAACTCGATCAAACCCCAGAGCTTGAGTCCATCGGAGCCATGGCCATGCAGCAGCAGGGTCCTACATAGGGCCACTCGTCCCCCAGATATCCTGTTCTCCTTGCCTCTCTGTTTCCCCAGCACAGTAACCTTGTCCTCCGCCCCCTCACCATCCCACCCCTTCGCTACTGCTCACTTCACAGTCATGCAGCCGCACCTTCTGCATGGGCCAACTGAGCACTCTTCACTGCCCTATCCCCACGCCGTTCCCCTCCTGCCTCTGTTCCCCAGAACTTAGCTCTTGGCTTCTGCCCCCCACCATCCCACCCGAAAGGCAGCTGCATCTGCTGTGGAGCACGCCCGGCATTGGGCTGTCCTCTGCCTGCCTTCTCCCGGCCCTTTCCCTGATGCGTGCTTCCATCCCCTCCCACCCCGGTCCATCGGTCCCTCTGCATTCGGCAGCTACAAAACGTGGAGTCGTTACGCGCGCTCCTGAAGGGCACGGAGGCGGAGCTGAGCATGCGCGTGTCGGAGGCGGCGCGGCGGCAAGAGGACCCGCTGCAGCGACAGCGCACCCTGGTGGAGGAGGAGCGGCTGCGCTACCTCAACGACGAGGAGCTCATTACCCAGCAGCTCAAGTGAGGCTGGGCCCCGCGGCGGAGGGAGGGCTGGGGCTGCGGGTGCGGCCAGAGTGGCGCGCAGCCTGGTTTCACTAGGAGGCGCAGCTCCTCCCGTCCTTCCGAATCACAGGTGACGTCGGTCTGTTCTGAAGCCTGATTTCCTTCTCCTGTGTGGCCTGATTTCCCTGTGACCCACAAACCTTTGACCTTCTGGCACAATTCCTGACTTTTTTTCTGGCTGGATGCCTGAGTTTGCTCTGGTCTTTTCTTCCTAATGGCCCAGTCTGGAGACACCATGGCCTGCGGCCTTACTTTCATGTGGCCAGCTGCCTGATTTCACTCTGCCCTGTCTGCTTTCATTCTGGCCTGTGACCGCTGTAAAATGATCCTCCCCTAGAGTATTCAGGTGGAGAATTCAGGTGCTGCCAGCTTGGCCAGCTTGGTCAGCTTGGTGCAGACCAGCCACAGTTGGCTGCACTCCAGTCCCTTAATTTCTGAGACCAGGTATAGCCACGGAAAAACCCTTCTCCCGTCCTAGTACACCTGTAGCTTTTCCAGGAGGAATGAAGAATAGAGAACACCCCATGCCCAAATGCTTAGACATGGAAGGGTTAACAGAAGACAGTCCTTTGAACCAAATTTAGCAAATAGCTGTCTGGCCAAGATTCGATTGTCTGGCACCACTGAAGGAAGAAGCTGCCTTTAAGAAGAAGCTGCTTTTCACTGTCCAGTGTGTGAACACCCCCCAGGCCTGCCCCAGCTGTGGCCTTCCCTTGTCAGAGACAGAGGCCCTGCTGCTTTCTCTGGCCTCCCTCTTGGTGACACAGGGCATAAGGGGTCCTGAGGTCCAGTTCCAGCACCGAGAGGCTGTGTGATCAGGGTGGCTTCTGTCCTTCTCTGTGCTGTGACTTCCTCACCTGTGCCCAGTATTAAGATTTTTGCAGTTCCTTCCAGAGAGGGATTGGGTGCCATTGGCCAGTGACTCAGGGACCCAGGAGAGGCTGCTCAGAGGAGCCCGGCTTCCTCACCAGGTCACATTTGATTGTAGCTCTGGCCAGGGGCTGCTTGAGAACTGCCCCTGCCCCTCAGCCTTGGGGCCACGTGGCCTGGTGGTGCGTGTGCCAAGATCCCTGTGACCCCCCGTAGCTGAGATGAAATAAGGGGTCATCCCACTTAGAGAAAAGCTGGCTGTAGCTACTCCCTCGCTCCAGGTGTGAAAACTTAGTGACAGCCCTTGTGAGATCTCCCAGTAGACTGGCAGCTGCCATCCCCCCAACCTGGGGAATTCTATTACCTGGCTTTTCTGTCCTCTCCTTGCCCCTTTTCACTTAGCATATAGGAGCTGGGTTGGAATTTTCAAAGGGGACTTTATTGAGACATTAAAGGAAAATAAAAGGAAGTATAAAAACACCGAGAAATGAAAGGACAGATTTATGCTTTTGTCATAAGAGTGTCTGGTCCTCAGCTTTCTGGGCCCTTGGTTCCCTAGGAACATGCAGACTCACGCCCCCTGCTGTGTTGCTCAGAGCGCTCACTTGAGAGAGAGCTTAGGGGACAATAGGTTGCTTTCGCAGGATTTTCCGCCCACTTTGAAGGGGGCTCCTGCCCTTTTTTTTTTTTTTAAAGATTTAATTAATTTATTTATTTTTTAGAGAGATGGGGAAGGGAGGGAGAAAGAGAGGGAGTGAAACATCAATGTGTGGTTGCCTCTAGAACACACCATACTGAGGATATGGTCTGCAACCCAGACACGTGCCCTGACTGGGAATCAAACCAGCGATGCTTTGGTTCGCAGGCCGGCGCTCAATCCACTGAGCTACGCCAGCCAGGGTAGGGCTCTTGCCTATTCGAGGTGGGACCTGGACTGTGCTACACACCAGCCCTGCGGTGGTTCCACCTTGGCCATGAGGGCCCTCCCTGCCCAGCTTCCATCGCCTCCCCGAGCATTAGGTGGCCCAACAGGCCCTATCTTACCCTCGTACATTTGCTCTGCACCCTCTTGCCCTGGCATCTTGCATGAAGTTAAGACCAATGCTATGCTTCATTCCGCTTGGCTCACTCACCTACACTTAACAGCCAAGCACTTGATCTCTGTGTAGACAGTGCCCTTGGGGGCAGCCTCTGCTGACTGAGACCTTTTGGCCTCTGGAGCCTAACTTGCCCCAACCCAGGGCCAGCTTTTTAGGCACGTGACCAGTGCAGCAGTGACACGAGGCAGCCTGGTTTAGTGCTGTGCCGTCACTGTCTTGGAACCCTTAATGTTCTAACCAGGGTTCGTTTTGCATGGGGCCCTGCAGATTATGCAGCGGGTCTGTCCCTGCCCTCCCCTCTCGGCACCTCCAGGGATAAACCTGGGTCTGCAAAGCCTGACCACTTTCTGATCCCAGTATCTAGACATGGACTGGTCAGGGACTCACGTGCAGAGCCTGCCCAAGTTAGGGCCCCCAAATCCAGGGGCTAATTGAGCCTAAGGCTGGGAGGGTGGTTCCTTCTGCCTGAGAGCTGCCGTGTTGCCTTCTCCTAAAGGCTTACCCGCATCCTCCTTCACGGGAGGGTCTCTTCCTGCTCATGGTGGTGTGTGGGAGCGACTGTTTGACAAAACTGGTGCACCTGAGCCAATCAGCTGCCACACAAAGCAGAGTGGAGGTATTCTTTCCCAAGTGAATATTGCTGAGCCTCTTTTTAAAAAAAGTCTCTCTGCAAATTTTATTGATTGATTGATTAATTGATTGATTGGAGAGAGAGAGAGAAACAGCGATTTGTTGTTCCACTTACTTATGCATTCATCGGTTGCTTCTTGCATGTGCCCTGACTGGGGATCAAACCTACAACACAGTGTATTGGGATGACTCTCTGACCAAAACTACATGGTCAGGGTGAGCCTCTTTTTTCTTTTTTTTTTCTTCAAGACTTTATTTATTTATTTTCAGAGAGGGAAGGGAGAAAGAAAGAGAGGGAGAGAAACATCAGTGTGTGGTTGCCTCTCACGTCCTGCCCACTGGGACCTGGCCTGCAACCTAGGCATGTGCCCTGACTGGGAATTGAACCAGTGACCCTTTGGTTTCCAGGCTGGTGCTCAATCCACTGAGCCACACCAGCCAGGGCTTTTTTTTTTTAATGCCAAAGCCAGTTGTATTAGTTTTAAGGTGGCTAATTAGTTCCTTAGGGTTGCTGCTGTAATAAGTTGTATAATGGTTCAGAAATAATAGACATGCCTTTCTTTCTCATGGAACAGCATTGGGTGGGTTAGTGGAATGGCCCTCCTCCATGTAGTCATTCAGGGACCTGGGCTAATGGAGGTTTGGCCCTCTTCAGTATGTGCCAGGTCACCCACAGGGTCATTGCCTTTCAACCAACAGGAAGGGGAGAGGAGCATAGAAGAGCTTATGTGGAAGGTTTGTATGGGCCAGGCCTTTCATTTATATTTGACTGGCTACATTTCAGTCGAATGGCCACTTCAAAGTGCTGGGGAGGCTGGGACGTGCAGTCTGCTGTCTGAGCTGCTGTCTGTGTGTGGAGGTACCGACAGTTCCCACTCATAGAATTTGTCGTGAGGATTAACTAGGGCAGCAATTTCAACCAGTGCACCGCAAGAGGCACGTTCATGTGCCACAAGAATTTTTAAAACATGCAATAAACTGACCTTTTCCCCCTTAGATTGTCAAATAAAAAATGTCAACACAACGATAGCCATCTGGTGCGAATGAATCAAAATTAGACCTGTTTTTTTGTCAGACCAGCAAAAAATATATTTTTGGTGCGCTGCAGAATTTTGGCACAAGTTCACGTGTGCCATGAAATGAAAAAGGTTGCAAATCGCTGAAATAACGTCATGAAGGGGAAGGGCTGACTGTGGCACCTGGCGTACATTACGTACAGGACGTGGGAGCTCTTACACCGGTCGTGCGGAGTCACGGGATTTTCTCCTGGGCTGCGGTCTGGTTGGATGAAGATGTAGAAGGCATGCTGATGGGGGTTGCTGATGACACGAAGCTCTGAGGGGGAGCAGATCTGTTGGATGGTAGAACTGAGCTTCAGAAGTTGTTCCCGCCTGGAGAGCTGAGCTGACATTTAGCGGACAGGACCTGTTGGGGGGTGCATGTGACGCCCCGCATGTCAGTCAGGGGCGTCAGTGTCTTGAGGGTGGAGCTGAGGTGACCTACCCAGGCAGCAGTTCTTGCTTTCTTCCTTTCTGTTTTCTATTTTCCTTTTTAGAGGTCTCATCCAGATCAGTGTCTCTTTCTTTCTCTCAATCATTCATTCCACAATTATTTACCAGACAGCTATTCTGCTCCAGGCACGCTGCCACGTGCTGAGCATCGGAGATCACGCCGGAAGGCTTGGCTCCTGCTGGCCTGCCTGGAGCTGTGCGGTCCAGCACGTGGGAGGGGCCCCAGGGGCTGGTGGGGCAGGAAGCAGGCCCCAACCCTGAGCGTAGGGAGTAGGGGGAGGTTCCCATGGAGACCTTAGGACGGGTGGGAGTCACGTACACATATATGTGCACATGTGTGTGTGTTGAATGGTGTATTCTAGGCAGAGAAAATTAGAAAGGCCCAGAGAGGGCAGCACATATAAAGACCTCAGAGAAGTTCTGGACGGTTCTAAACAGAAGCAAGCCAGACTGAGGACAGGAGCTGGGGCTGGAGGGACAATAAGAGCAGCCCTCAGGGCCTTACCTCTCACTGACCCTTTTCCATTTGCATTAGCTTATTTAATCCACAGTGGCCCCAGGAGGGAGGAACTCTCGCCACCCCCCTATTTTGGATGAGGACACGGAGGCCTGGCCAGAGGAGGTAGCTTGCCCAAGGTCTGTCTGCGGGCCTGGGCAGAGCTGGGGCTGGAATGTGGCTCTCTGTGACCCTGAGTCAGAGTTTCCGCTCTCACCCGCTTGCCCTTCTCGATTGCCTGGAAGGGTTTGGATTTGACCCTCAGAACGATGGGATCCATCTAGGGTTCAACAGAGTGCGGGGTGCCTTGGTCTGATTTGCACTGTAGAAAGATGTGGGGTGTAAAAACGAGACAAGCACAGCATAAGCCAGTTGAAAATCAAAAGCACTTTTGTCCTCAAAGAAAGAGGCTGTGTCTGGACCATTTGAGAAAAGGTAGGTGGACACGGCGGTGTCGCCCTGCGAGAAAAGAGAGCCCTCCAGGGCACGTGCTGCCGCCTCCCGCTCTCTGAAAGGCTGCCAAGCTCTCTGCTGCTCCTTTGGCAGAGCGAGAATCAGAAGATGCAAGTTACAGGGACCGAGATTTGAGCTGATGTGGCTAAAGATCAGAGCTTCAAAAGGGGATCCAGGGCCCCTGTTAGGGAACTCTTCTGAAGTCTCCTCTCTGAGGTTTGGCATTTCCGATTTCGCTTGGGCTGCGGCCTGATGGATGGCTTTTAATTTTGATCTGATGGTGACCTGATTTCTTTCCAGCTGCCCGATTTCAGGGGGCTGGGCTGGGGCCGGAGGGGCTGAGAGGGTCTCTCTGTGGCTGCAGTGACCTGGAGAAGTCGGTGGAGAAGATCCAGAGGGATGTCTCCCACAACCACCGGCTGGTGCCCGGGCCAGAGCTGGAGGAGAAGGCGCTGGTGCTGAAACAGCTCGGGGAGACGCTGACTGAGCTCAAGGGTGAGCCTGGGGGCCAGTGAACGTGTCTCGTGGCCCAGGTGGGAGTCCCTGCTGCGCCCCTGCCACCTGCCCCGGGCGCTGCCCTTTCTGCCACCCATTCTCCCAGGCCTCTGAGCTGCTGCCCACTCAGCTCACTGCTTGTGGTCCCCGCAGCTCACTTCCCAGGCCTACAGAGCAAGATGCGGGTGGTGCTGCGCGTGGAGGTGGAGGCTGTGAAGTTCCTGAAGGAAGAGCCACAGCGCCTGGACGGGCTACTCAAGCGCTGCCGTGGGGTCACAGACATGCTGGCCCAGATCCGAAGGTCATTCTTTCCCTGACCTCTGGTCACGCGCGTGGCCCAGATTGATAGATCAGCCCGACCCCTTATCCCGACTCCCCTAAAGGTCACTGGTGTGACGACTGGAGTTACACCTCAACTCTGACTTGTCATAGGCTTGGCTGTCCCCAATGCTGGGGGCAGTTACTCCTCCCCAGGCCCTTGCTTCTGTCCCGCAAGATCCCAGAGCCCTCCTTCCACCCCGCCTCCCTCAGGCCAGGCTTCCCTTTCTCGGGGCCGCCACCCCGCTGGTCTCACAGCTGCTCCTAACTCTTCTAACCCCAGGCAAGTGGACGAGGGAGTGTGGCCACCCCCCAACAACCTCCTGAGTCAGTCCCCCAAGAAGGTGACAGCTGAGACCGACTTCAACAAAAGCTTGGACTTTGAATTGCCACCCCCTAGCCCTCCGCTAAACCTCCATGAGCTGAGCGGGCCACCTGAGGGAGCCCCTTCTACCCCCAAGGGGGGCAACCCCACCAAAGGCCTGGACGCACCTGGCAAGAGAAGCGTGGACAAGGCTGTGTGTGTTGAGGTACTGGGCCCAGGATGGGGGGTCAGCTGGGCTCACATGTTCTCACCACTGTCCTCAGTTGGAAGTGCACACGCATCATGGCTACTTTTCCCTGGGGGAAGAGGAAGTCTTGGAAGCATATTAAGGGTGACATTTGTCCTGCTAGACGGGAAAGCATATAATAAAGTAATAACGCTTGAGGCAATGCGGTGTTTGCCTAAGAATAGACAATGTGGTCAATGAAAGAAAAGAAAATGTCTAAAAATGGGCTTAACTATATCAAGAGAGCCGTGTGTTAAAAGGCAGTATTTCGACTCACGGAGAAAGCATGTAATATTTAAGAAGTCCAGGGGTCCTCAGGGAGCTGGACCAAATGTGGGGCTTCCTCTACCACTCCTTGCATGTGTGGCTGGGGGAAGGGGCTGAGGCCCCACAGGTCCGGCGGTAGGGTAGCCACTGCAGTCCTGACTCTCGCCCCCTCCTCTCAAGGCTGCCGAGAGGGACTGGGAGGAGAAGCGGGCAGCTCTGACCCAATACAGCGCCAAGGACATCAATCGGCTGCTGGAGGAGACACAGGCAGAGCTGCTGAAGGCCATCCCGGACCTGGACTGTGCGAGCAAGGCCCACCCAGGCCTGGCCCCCACCCCTGACCACAAGCCCCCGAAAGTCCCCCACAGCCAGAAGGCAGCCCCCCGAACGGAGCCCAGTGGGAGGAGGGGCTCAGGTATGGGGGAAGGTAGGGGTGGGTGAGGAGCCCAGAGGAGGGGAGGTGCCCCATCTACAGGAGCCTTCAGGTTGATGGGAGGGAGGGAACAGGTGCAAGTGAGGACCTCTGTGGTCAGGCTGCTGGAGAGGGGAGGTGCTGGGACATCAGCAGCCTGACCCTCAGCCACTGCAGGGAGACCCAGAGGCTGGGTTAGAGCTGGACTCTGTCAAGGCCTCTCCCCACTGCCCCGACCGCTGCCGAGAGGACCTGGCAGGGAGGAGGGGCAGGTCCAGGCACAGAGCCATCCTTCTGCATCTCGGACCCAGAACGTGCCCCAAACCCCCTGCCTGTGAGCTCACAGGTCAGGCAGGAATCTGAACCGGAAATGGCAACCATCATTCATTCATTCATTCCTGCCACACATATTTGCTAAGCACCTACTGTGCACTAGGTGCTGGGAATAAGGAATAAGACACTACTTACTTTTAAGGACCTTAAAACTTAATGGGGGTGAAATACTAACTTATGTGTTTATCGAGCACTTAAGTGTTAAGAACTGCCCCAAATGCTTTCTATATATTAATTCTCATAATTTCATGACCGCCCCAGGAGGCAGTCACAGTAGTCCTTCCCATTTCACAGATGGCGGCCCTGAGTTCAGTGTGGTCATGTGACCTGTCCCAGGCCGTAGCTAGTGTGTAAACCAGAGGTAGGATGAGGTGCTCAGTGCCGTGTGGGGGTGAGCTTTGCTGTCCAACAATCTCAGAGGAGGCCCTGGGAGGGCAGGAGGGGCACTTTCCACCGGAGTCTTGAAGACGAGTAGGTGCTTCCCTGGGAGAGGAAACAGCACGCTCAGACTCCTGGAGGTAGGTGTTGGGTGATGCCCAGCAGGGCCCAGGCTGGGGGGTAGCGAGCAGAGCCGAGGCCCAAAGACTGGCAGGCGCACAGGGTGCTGGGCTGAGGAGCTTGGATGTGTTCTGGGTAATGGGGAGCCACTGAGGATGAAAGGCAGGGGAATGTCAGGTTTGAGCGACTTTTCTGCAGGTTGCCCTGGGGACAGCCCCAGCTGCCAGGAGAACCGGGGGAAGGGAGAACCTGGTGGGCAGGGTCATGCTCTTGCAATAGTTTCTCTCTTGATGGGAAAGGGTGCAGATCCTCACTAGGGGCTGAGGGGCAGGTAGGAAAGAGATGAATTACAGCAGCATTTCTCACACTTGAGTGTGCCCCTGCAATCACTGGGGGATCTGTCAAAATTTGGCTGCTGGTCCAGCAGCTCTGGGCGGGGCCTGAGCTTTGCATTCCTAACAAGCTCCCAGCAGCTGCCAGTGCTGCTGGTCCACGGCCCACACTTTGAGTAGGGCGGGGTGAGAGGGCTGTAAGAGGCGGAGTGGCAGGGTTTGGGGCTGGATTGCAGGGGGAGGTCAGAGAGGATGAGGGGGGAACCTGTGTCCTTTCCCCTGAGCCTTCCCCGCCCCTCTTCTCTGGAAGAGGAAGCAAGGTTTGCCCCCTGGGAGTCAGATGTAGCTCACAGACTCCAGGGTTACAGCTTCCCTGACCTCCAGATCCTTGGCTGCCTGCAGATGAGCTGACGGTGCCCCGATACCGCACGGAGAAGCCCTCTAAGTCGCCCCCGCCACCCCCTCCCCGCCGGAGCTTCCCCTCTTCCCATGGCCTGACCACCACACGCACTGGAGAGGTTGTGGTCACCAGCAAGAAGGACTCGGCTTTCATCAAGGTACCACCTTGGGCAGGGATTGAGGAAGTTGAGTCGGGGGGATGCCTGAAGTGACCTCTGCAGATCCTCTGGGCGGTCCTCCCCTCAGAGGAAGTAGAATGAAAGAAGGGGGCTGGCCAGTGGTGGCTCTGCTTCGGACTTGGGTCCCACCGTGGGAAGGGGCCGTTCTGGAAGGATGAGGAACTAGGGCAGGTGGGAGGGGTCTGGAACCCATGGAGCCCAGGTGAGCCGGTGTGGAGGCGGGCGGAGCCTGGCCCTGACCGGGCGCCCGGGCCTTGCAGAAGGCCGAGTCCGAGGAGCTGGAGGTGCAGAAACCCCAAGTGAAGCTGCGCCGGACGGTGTCCGAGGTGGCCCGCCCGGCCTCTACGCCCCCCATCATGGCCTCTGCCATCAAGGATGAGGACGACGAGGACCGCATCATCGCAGAGCTGGAGGTGGGTCAGCGGTGCGACTGGCCCCCGAGTCATAAGCCAGACCCGGCTCCCTTTCCCTGCCCAGCGGGCCCCAGGGTGAGGTGGCTGGACCGGGACAGGTGGTTGGCCTCTTGGGCTTCCCGCTGAGCGCCGGTCTGTTCAGAGCCCCACCCTTCCCAATTTTTTCTCCACTGTAAAACAGGGGAGGGGTCCTGAAGTCTCTCCTTGTAGGTTTGAGGTTTTTGATCGTAGTCTTTGAGACCCACCACCAACCGCCCTGAGACCCTGCCATGCTCTGAGACCACCATCCTCGAGTGTTCTTTGAGCGTTTGACGCCCTTGTCCCCAAGCCCCTCATACTCTGGTGTTCTCGGCCTGTCCCCTGGCCACACCCCCACCCACCCACCCAATGGCTGCAGACACTGGGCTTCCAGGGCTTCTGGAGCAGAGACAAAGTGGAGGGCAGGGTGGCCGGTGGCCATTGTGAGGGGCCACAATGAGGCTGGATTCCAGTGCCAGCCCAGGCCACCCCCGCCTGTGGGTGCCTGAGCCGTAGGCCAGCACCCCTATTGTCCTCCCTGTACCCCTCCTTCAAACGTTCCCCCACCTTCTGCTCCCCAGGTGTTTGAGAGAAGCTCAGTGCCTTCCCTCCCCCCTACGCCCCGCCGCCAGCCGATCCCTACCTTGCTGTCCCCCCAGGACCCCGGGCCCCCTGGGGGCTCAGCCCCAGGTCCCACATGGAAGGTAACGGGCTGCCCCCCACCTCTCACGGTGCTCTTTCTGCCTGTGCCTCCACAGCTTCCTGTCTTCACCTGTCACGCTAACTTGCTAGAATGCCAGTTACATCCCCGGGTCTCCACCACTGCCACAGTCTCACCCATGTGGAATCACCCCCTCCCCAGCTCAAGGACAGACACGTAACCCTGCCTTCTGTTCCTGAGACTTCAGCAGTCTGGTACCCAGTTGACCCCTTGGGTCTGCTTTTTCTTACAGGCTTGATTCCGAGTCAGCTTATGGTGGCCTGGGCATTTTGTTCCAATCTGCGACTCGAGTCTAGGTCTGGCCTGCAGTCTGGGTTTTGCCTGGGTCCATGATGGAGTCAGGACCTGGCTCACTAGAGGACTTTAGGTCCAGCTCAGAATATTTGTCTTGAGCCCTGGCCTAGTCCCTGCCATCCCCTCTGCTCCGCTGCCTCTGCTCCCCCCTACTTTGCTGCCTGTCCCAGGCAGGGGCTCCATTTCTCCCATTAGAATCTACGCCTCGCACGGGGGGCCAGGACTCATGGGGGGAGCTCATCTACAGCCTCCCTCTGACCCATGGCCCCATCGTGCCCCCTTGGTCAGGGAGCTTGGAATGGAAGAAACTCATACCCTTCCTTGGCTGCTGGTTTCGTGTCTTTCAGCATTGGGAAGTTCTTCCTTCTCTCTAACTTTAGTCCTTGCTGCTGTCCCGCTGCACTTATTTCCTCTTCACTCTTTCTTGGGAACTTGGGGGTGGAGCCACTGTATGCACCCCCAGGAGGCTGTGCTTGGGGAAGAGCACCTTGGGTGAGGGTGGGTGAGGGGGTTGGGGGTGGTCTGGGAACATCTCCCACTGCTCAGTCACATTGGGAGAAGAGGCCCCGCTCTGTGAGGGTAGCCGCCAGTGCACACACGGGTTCACCTGACCCGTCTGCTTCTCCTCCGCCCACTTGGGCTCCGTGCCGGCCACCACGTGATTTCTGCTCTGGCTTGAGGCCCCGCGAAGCTCTGTCGTCCTGGCCCGAGGGAGCAGACAGGCACCAGATGGGTGGGCGGTGCTGTCTGCTGGGCGGAGGATGGGCACAGCGCGGTCTGGGGAGCCGGATGGGGCGCGCATTGTGGAAGGGCTGCCCCCGCGGGCTGCGCCTTTGGCTCCCAGCCCCTGTTCTTTTCTGGCTCTGGGTGCCGATCCTGAAGGGGCCCAGTGGGCAAAGCCCCTCTGCTGGCCTTCGGGGCCTGGCCCACCCTGTGCATCCTGAGGCGCCATCAGGCAGTGGAATTGGGCAGGCACGGTCACCCCTCTGCCTGCCCAGTCTGCGCCGTCACTTCAGGTAAGCAGGCGGCAGGGCCTTGGGAGGGAGGCTGGGGGACTCTGCTGCCCCCCACGAATCGCCCTGTAGCTCCTTTTAGTGGCAAGAGCACTGGACTTGGAGTCAGACTACCTGGGTTCCAATCCTGCCTCTGCCACTAACTAACTGTGGGTAAATGACCTCGAGTGAATCACTACCCCCCTCACCCTCGATCTCTTCACCAGTAAAGTGGGGAAGAGAGTAGCGGCCATTCTGTGGGTTACAGTGAGAGTTGAAGGTGAAGACCCATCTGACAGAGCCTGGCACATAACTGGTGCTCGGAATTAGACCAGGGTTCATGCAGTTGGGGGATCTCGTTGCGCCCCCACCAAAGCCAGAGCGAGGATGTTCACACAGAAGCGGGGCCCTAGCTCTGCCCGAGCCTGCGAGCCTGTGTGCAGCAGAGTTTGGCCGAACTCCTCCCCTTGTGGCAGCTGTGAAACCCTTGGAGGAAGTTCCAAAAGTTGAGGGTGGAGGGACCAGGAGTCTCTGGCCTGCGAGGAGGATGAGAGCCCAACCCTCCAGACCAGCGTTTGGTCTCTGCCTGCACAGGGCTGCCGGCCTCCACTGCTCAGTGCAGTTCAGCAAATAGCCGGCGTTCGTCGGGCACTTACGATGCGCTGGGCACTGTTCTGGGCACTCGGTTCTCTGCCCACCCCTCGTAGGACTGCCCCATTGCGCAGGCTGGCAAGCTCGTGGGAGTCCCTGCGAGACCTGCCCCCAGAATGTGGCAGGGGCGATGAGCAGTCAGCGTGTGTCTGCGCTTCCAGATAAACTGGTGTCCGTGCCAGAAAGTGGGAGGCTGGAGGGAGCAGTGGAAAGAAGCCTGAGCTCTAGTCCCAGCTGCACCTCTATTGCTGGGTTAACTCAGGCCCCTTCCCTGCCTCCGTGTCCCCATCTATGGAGGGCAGGGGCTGGGCTCACCCGTCGTCTGACCCCCACCCACGTGATCGTGTTCTCCCTCATCTTTCTTCTCCCCGCAGGCTGCCCCAGGCCCCAGGGCCTTCTGTGTCCCGCGGATCGTCTTGACAGAGTGTGCCCCCAACCCTCCGTCCCTGTCAGAGGCCAGACTTGAGGAACCCAGTCCCAGAATGACCCCCACCCCGAGACCTCGGACCCTGGTTGGCAGTGGGAGGGACTGGGATGGCCCACAGGCCCCGCCGGGGGTAGTGGCTGAGGCTTCCGGGCCCAGGAGCAGTTTGATGCCCGAAAAGGAGGGGACCTCTCTGAAGAGTCTAGGGACAGGGGGCTGCAGCCCAGAAGAGGGAGGGGTCAGGGTCCCCTGTTCTCAGGGGCCTCCCATGGCTGAGACCCACCCGGAGGAGACCCCCAAGGACTCCGGACACAATGCCCAGCCTTGCAGTGGGAACCGTAAGGGCCAGCCTGCTGGTGGCCCGGTCTGCACAGTGCAGGGCGCCACCACCCAGCGGATGGACAGCCTGGAAGAGTCACTCCGGGAGCTGGAAGCCACCCTGAGCCAGATGGGCACACCCCCCTCCAAGGGCCCCCCTGGCAGCCCTCCGCCCCTGCCCCCCACTCCCAAGGTGGCTGCCTCCTCCCCTGTCCTCCCCTCCGGCCTTCACACTCCAGTCTCTCCATCTTCAGAGCAGGAGGGAGTTGGGGGCTGCAGGAGCACCGACAACCCCTCTTCCCACCGGCCTTTTCTCACTCTCCTGGGAGCCTGGTACCCAGTGGGCTTTGCGGGCAGAGCCCTAGGAGGCTGGGAAGCTGGCCTCCCTAGGGATCCGCCCGTCCAGCCCTGGCAGGGACCAGGACTTCTCCCCTGCTCTGTATCTGTGAACCGACAAATAAAGTTTTCTCCCCTTTCCTATCCCCTCTCTCCCCTCCCCTCTCCTGTCTGACTCTTTCTGTCTCTGTTGTTCTCTGTCTGCACCTCTGGATCCCCAGGGCCCTTCTGGGCAGGCCTGGTGCCTGGGGTGGTTCAAGGGGGCCAGACCTGTTCATCTCCAGGGAGACTTTACCCACATCCTCCCACCAGCAGGAAGCTCTGGGCCCGGGGCTGCCAATCCTGCTGTCTGCCATTATAAAGACCGCCCCCCCCCCCCCAGTCTCAGGCACGCTCTCCTGGGTTTAGGAGGTGTCCCTTGCTGGGAGCCGGGGTGGTACTAGGGGCCTTTACTTTAGAAATGGCTCCCCCTCACGGTCACCAGCTGCCTCTGGGCTGTTTAAGGAAATCACCCACGAGTTCCCACTTGGGAGCACAGTGGTTAGGGACCTAGCTGGTGGCCCCTGTTACCTCTCCTTCAGGGGGACCTTAAACCTGGCCTCAGCGGGCCTGAGTCCCGGCCTGGGACGTGGAACCAGGAGCGGTAATAAGGTCCCAGCCCCGGAGCCTCTCCCGCCCAGTGCCTAGGGTTCCTGTGTGATTTCCCGTCAACTGTAACCCTGTTCCTCTCTCTGTAGAGTGGCGGTGGCAGTGTGCCACCCATGAAGGTGGTGACTCCAGGGGCCTCCAGGCTGAAGGCAGCCCAGGGCCAGCCAGGCAGCCCCGACAAAGGCAAGCACGGCAAGCAGAGGGCCGAGTACATGAGGATCCAGGCCCAGCAGCAGGTAAGGTGGACGCTGTGGAACCGTGGCCCCATCCAGCCCTGCCCCCACCCCTGCCGTGCTGTGGGCTGCTATTGTGTGCTGCCCCCTCCTGCCATTGTGCCCACCTTCCCGAGAGACCCTCCCTGCCAGGGCTGCCCCACCGGCCCCTTGAGCAGCCTCCCCTCTCCTCTCCCTAAGCCCAGTGCTCTGGATCTGGTTTAGAACGTGCGTCCTCAGCCAGGCCCCTCCCCATTACAAGGCTCCTTCTGTAGGAGGAGGAACCAGTAGACTCTCACCGGCCCCAGTAACTGGGTCTCTTCAAAGGCCTGGCCTGGCCTGCCCTGGGCGTGGGAGGGGGACCTACATACCTCCTCATCTTCTGCCACTCGCCTCCTCTCCCCTGCTTCCTTCTCTCCGCTCAGTCCCGCCTGTTCTCTGGGGCTCCACTCTCATTTCAGCTCCTCTCTCAGCTCCTAGGCCATCTCCCAGCTGAGGGAGAAACCAGCTTACATCTGCTTTGCAGGCTCGTGTTGGGTGTCAGTGTGTTCCCGCTGACATTCCATGGGGAGAGCGAGAAAAGAGAGAGGCTTTGACCCCCAGACGGGGCAGGAGCACTTCACCCCCTTTCAGATTTAGGTAGCAGGTTGAGGTACAGAGCTGACCGCCTCATCATGGGTGTTTCTGCCCCGTGGTCCGTGTGTGTCTGGGTCAGAGGTGCAGGGTGGCCCCTGGGCCCAGATGCTGCTCGACCCTTAGTGCAGTGTTTGGTTCAGTGGGTATTTCTCAGCAGCTCCTGTATGTCCAGCCCCCATTCTGGGTGCTGGGGCGGGGGTTGGGGCTGTGAAATGTCCAGATGCTGTACCACGAAGAAGGTTCTAGGCTCAGAGGCGGGAGGTTAGAGATGAGTAAGTGCAGCCTCCTCCTACAGCCGAGGAGACAGCTCAGAGAAGGGGCTTCCCCAGGGTGCGGAGCAAAGTGGATCAGAGCCAGAACTGGGACACAGGCATCCCAGAGCTTCGCAGCACGTGGACCGGGACAGCCCTGGGCACGCAGGTCCTGCCTCCTGCTGGTCCCCTGGAAAATCCAGCGGAGATGAGCCATCCACTCCGTCCGCCCCCTGACCAGCTCTCCTCACCAGCTTCCCACTGCCCACTGTCCTCCTCATGGGTCCCTCGGTGCACCTGCAGATCCATCCCTAGCTCTTTCCTGCCACCGCCCTGGAAGAGCCACTTGTCCTGTCCAGGCTGGTCTCTCCTTTGTGTCCAGAACGGCAGCTGATGCTCGTGGTGTGTTCACTTGTGCCGGACACACGTTGTGTCCTTTCACACTCGCCACTCCCAGGGAGGTCCTTACCATCCCCGTTTGGTAGATGGGGAAACTGAGGCTTTCTGTGAGATCACACAGCTGGCGAGTCGTGGAGTGGGATGCGAGTCCAGACTACCTGACACCCTCCCACAAAATGCACTTGCTGCATCCTTTTCACCGGACCCTCCCCCGCAGCACACCCCCCGGGGGCTGTGTCGACCCACCATTCCTCCACGCCTGCTCCTCCTTTGTCCACCCCACCCCCTCCCTCTTGCCTCCTCTCTGGGCGGTTCTCCTCTGCCCCCTTCGGTCCCCCTCTTCGCCTCACTTGCCTGCTTCCTCTTCAGCCTCTTCTCACACCACACGCACCTGTCCTCGGGCACCAGGTGCCGTCTGTTCCTGCCCGGGTCTCGGTTCTGAGCTCAGACCCGCCAGCTGCTTTCCCCTCGGGAAGTGCCACCCACCCGCAGGTGCCCACCCACGCTCGGGCGTCTCCGGGAGCCCCTCCTCCCTCCTCCCTCCTCCCTCCTCCCCCTCCCTCCTCCCTCCTCCCTCCTCCCCCCCCCCCCTCCCCCCCCCCCCCCCCCCCCCCCCCCCCCCCTCCCTCCTCCCTCCTCCCTCCTCCCTCCTCCCTCCTCCCTCCTCCCTCCTCCCTCCTCCCTCCCTCGTCTCCCGCAGACGTCGTGCTCCTCTCTTCACACTTCCACCTCTTGTCTCGCTATGGCTTTCGTGTTCACTTTTCTGGGGCCTTTCTTTCAAAAAGCATCTCCTTTCTCATACGCAGCACATGTTGCGTGTGGACCTTGTTTATAGAGGCAGGGCAAGGATTCGCCCCATTTACTACCTAAATGCAGGCTCTTCTGCCGCTCCCTGGGACTTTGGGCTCCTGCAGCCTGTTTCCCGGCCCCGCGGGGCGGGAGGGATGTGTGTAAAGTGCAGGTGTGGGGACGTCACGCCCCCAGCTCGGAACCTGTGCCCACCGGCCCCTGTCGGGTGAGGAAATAGAAAGTCCTCCCTGCTGCCCCGGGCACTTGGCGACAGCCGGCTTCCCTCCACCCGGTTCTCCCTGCCCCCACCCACACCCTGGACTTGCTCGGCCACCCTGGGTCACCTGGCCCTCTGTCCTCCAGGCCCGGACACTGCTCCATATGCAGTCAGTCTGTGACCTGGGCCCATGTTCTCTGCCCTCTGCCCTCTGCCCGCTCCTTCCTCATCTGTGCCACAGGGACAAAAACCCGGCAGCAGGTTCCGAGGTCCCAGACGCTGGGTGTGGGACAGCACTTTGAAAGCCACCAAGTGCTCTCCAAAGGGAAGGAGTCCCCACCATCCTTAGTCACACCGTACATTTGTCAAGGGCTGGACAGAGGCCTCCTCCCCATCATGCAGTTCAAACACTTGGGGCTCCAAGAAGTCTTTGACGGTGATGGGGGAGGGAGATAGAAGTGCTAGGACCAGAGACACAAGCTGGGGGCCAAGGACAGGAGTTCCGAGATGGTGCAACAGTGCCCGGTACTGCTGGCATGACTGAGAAAAGTCTCTCGGGGTTGCGCTTGGGGCCCGAGGGTGGTACAGCAGCTGGGAGATTGGTGAGCGCCTCCTGGGTCTCCTCGGGTGGCTCAAATGGAGGGACTGTAATGAAGGGCCCACCCGGAGAGCTGGGATGGGATGCGGAGGCCCCCAGGGACTGGTGAAAGCAGGAAGCCGGGCCTCCCTGGGGAGAGGGGCAGGGAGCCCAGTCAGAACTGGGCTGCGGGAGCTGTGGCTGCGGAGGGTGGAGCTACGGTCAGCAGCTTGACCCCAAGGAGGGCGGTGCTAGGGAAGAAACTTCACCCGCTCTCTGTCCACCCTTCCATAATCCCATTCACTGGCCACACCTAACCAGAAGCTAGTCAGCAAAGGCATGGGGGTGGGGTAGGGGGTCAGCCAGCCAAGGCACAGAGCAGGGCAGGACTTGGATTGTAGATAGAAAATAATCGGTACATGTTCCATGTACCAAATTTACCTGTCTTAATCCTCATAACAACTTCGTCTGTGCTTAACTGGATTTGCCGCTGCTAATCCCTCAGCACCTACCGCAGTGTCTGGCCCTTTGGGCACTCAGTAAACAGTTACTGGGCAGGTGAATGAATAGATGAAGGGATCTGCCACGGGTCAGGCCTGAACCGGACGGAAACAGACAAAGCAGACCTGGAGGGTTACGGTGGCATAACAATGAGCAGCAATCGCTGACGTCCATCGTGTCCTGGGCGCAGGCCTCACCATCTGGGTTGCATCATCTCATGTGACTCTGCTGCTGTAGGGACTGTTTTCCCTGCCTTGCTGGTGAGGACTGGAAGGCTCCAGAGGGACTCTGCTTAGGGTCACGTGGTGAGAAAGTGACAGAGCTGGGACTTCAGCCATAGACTTGTCAGGACCCACCCTCCGAAGGCTGGGAGAAGCCCCGTCTCTCTGGACAGTCCAGTGCCCGGTTCAGGCAGGTAGCAGGAAAGAAGGGGTCGTGGCGGGGGGTGGGGGGGGCAGGGGGTGGAGGTGGCCCTGGGAACGGCCCTGGAGGAGGCGCCAGCAGGGTCTGTTGCGTGCTGTGGGCGTAGAGGGGGTGCTAACCTCTGACCCCCGGGAAGAGGAAGGATGCTGGGTCAGAACTCTGGGCCCCAGCTAAGGGTTCCCGTCTCCCCCGGCTGAAAGCTGAACGTTTGTGAGGTTTCTGCCCCGCCACAGAGGTGACAAAGCTCTGCTTCTCCGGACATAATTAGCAGCAACAGGAGAGAACTGGCTGGTGAAATGCCAGTGGCAGGAACCCTCAGAGACAGCAGCTGTGTCACCCGAGAGTTCTGAGCAGCACAGGGCAGGGTCATGGGCACAGATGGACGTGGGGCTCCCCCAGTTTCAGGAAAGTGGGTTTTGGCCGTTGCCGAGGCCAGGCTCCTGGGAGGGAAGATGGCCTGAGAGAATTTTACCAAACAGATGCTCACGGAGCAGCTGGAACAACTGTAAGAAGTCTTTGTGAAGAAGGAGGTTTTGGGGGGAGGGGCGTCTATGGGGACTCCGCCCAGTGCGGATGTTTGCAGGCCTTGCACTGGCCATGGCAGGAGGCAGGCATCGCCTGGGTGAGGGCACCTCACCTGAGTGAGTGCAGGAGTCAGGTGGAGGCCCAGGGCGGGGGCAGGTGTTTTAAAGACTAAAGCTCAGAATGGACGGAGGCTTTTAACAAGTGCTCGAGTGAAGGAACAGAAAACGCTTTTAACTAGAGATGGGCTGAGAACAAAGAGGACCAAACAACTGGGTTGGGAGATGTGAGGGGACACGGGGAGGAAGCAGAGGGGCCTCGACTCTCCCACCTGGCTTCGGGAGAAAAAACCTGAAACAGGAAAGGGTGGGAGGGGCTGGGCAGGAGCTTCAGGTAAGCGACCAGGAGTAAGAGAGCTCTTGGTTGCCTTTAAATGAGTTTTCAGCGGGCGTGACCAGAGAACAGGGACCACGCCTGGCACAGGGCCCTCGGCAAAGGGCTGAGTGAACAGAAAGGTAGTTTGCCGACCGCCTGGAGCACTTTTGAGAAAGGAGCACGTGGCCGCAGTCAAGGGGAGAGACGTGGAAGCCCCGTGGGGAACTCGCCTGGATTTTCCTGAAGAGGGCAGTGTAAGCAGGCTGCACTGTGGTGAGCAAGCCCTGGGCGAGTCTCTGCAGTGGGGAAGAGGAACCGGTCCCCAGCAACAAGGGCAGGTTCATGGTCAGCAGTCAGGCTGCATGCCATCTCGTGTCCCTTCCCGTCTGCTGGGGCCATGATCTGGCTTTCCCCCTGCAAGACATCTGATAGAGCTGACCCAGCAGCTGGCTGATCGTGTAGGTCGTGGGAAAGAAGCTGACCCTGCCCAGACCTAACTGCAGGGGGCCTCTGGCAATTAGCCACAGCATTCTCTTCCCGGTCCTCTTCCTTCCTGTCTTTTTTTTATTATTATTTAAGATTTTTATTACTTTTAGAGAGAGGAGAAGTTGAGCGAGAAAGAGAGGGATTGAAACATCAATGGTGGTTGCCTCTCACGCTCACCTGCTGGGGACCTGGCCCGCCACCCAGGCATGTGCCCGGGGAATCCAACCAGCCACCCTTTGCTTCGCAGGTTGGTGCTCAATCCACTGAGCCACACCAGCCAGGGCTGTCTTATTTTTAATCCTCGCCCAATAATGTGTTCACTGACTTTTAGAGAGAGAGGAAAGGGGGGAGAGAGAGAGACAGACAGACAGACAGACATTGATGTGAGAGAGAAACATCGATCGGCTGCCTCCCCTATGCACCCTGACAGGGAATCAAACCCACAACCTTTGGTGTATGGGATGATTCTCCAACCGACTGAGCCACCTGGCCAGGGCCCTTTCTGCCTTTTTTTTTTTTTTTGATCAATATGGTTCAGTTATTGCACTAGTAGCTAAGTAAAGCCAGGAGGGACAGGGAGAAAAGCCGGCTGTGTAGCCCTAACCCAGCAGATCTCCAAGTTAAGCGAGCACAGGACCGACCACCTGGGGCACCTGCCTAACATGCAGGCTCCTGCGCCCACACCAGAGGTGGATTTTGGAGCAGGCCCAGGAATCTGCATTTGTGACCCGTCATTCCCTTGAGGGGGGGAGGCAGATGGCTCTGAAATGACACAGACCTGCAGGGAAGGAGTTGCTGGAGGTGGGAAGGGACTGGACTGTTTCTGACTCTCAGCGCTGCCCGGTGCGTACAAGGCATGTCACCCGGGAGTGAGCTCCCTTACTCACAAGGCCCAGCTGGAAGCTGAAGAAACCGTGACACAGGGCGAAGTTGGGAGGGCGGCTCCATGCGGGGAGCGCCTCTTCCTCCCGGGCTGGGGTGGGGAGGTTCTGCAGAGAGGGCCCCCCCCCACCCCAGGGAGGACAAGCTCACTCCTCCGCCACCACAAAACCGTCTGCTTAGAATCAGCCTCCTGCCGAGTGGGGTAGGAAGGGACCCTGGCTGGGCTGCTGGCCACTGGGGACTAAGAGCCCACCTACTCCCTCCCTGCTCGGAGGGCACAGGGCACTTCTGTGGTGGCTAATGTTCCATCTCTTCCTTCCTCTCCTGTCCCCTCCCCCACGCCCATCTCCTTCTCCGCTGACCCTGGCGCGTCTCCCTTGTGCTTCTCTGGCCTCTCTCTTCCACCTTCTCTCTTTCCTGTCAGTAACCTCGGACCCACATCCCCACCCTGGTCCCCAGGCCCTTTGGTCCCACTCCGCCCCTGCTGCGGCCCCTCCCCTGTCTCGGGGGGGCACTCTCTTCAGATGCCCCTCTGGGTTTCTTCCTTTTGCAGTTGATTTTCTCTTGGATATGTGCAGGTTTTTCACTGTTTAAGGCTTCAGCTGAGGGCCAGCATGCAGGCCCTCCCTTCCTCTCTCTGACCCCGGACCGCTGTTTTTTTCCAGGCCACTAAACCATCTAGAGAGACCAGTGGGTCGAGCGAGACCTCAAGCCCAGTCTCAGAAAAGCCCTCGGCCTCCAGAACCTCTATCCCTGTATTGACTTCGTTTGGGGCGAGGAATTCTTCCATCTCCTTCTAGAAGCCCCCTCACACCTCCCCCCAGCCTGACCCCTCCCTGACCCCTGCCATGTATCTCCCTACACTTCCCTTCACCCCCATCCCCCCATTCTCCAGACCCTCCCCTGGGTGGGGTTGCCACACGTGTGGCCCTTCTCGCCTCTCTCTACTCATTCCCTGTTGGTGTTTTTTCTTTTTTTTTAGTGATTCACTTTTAATCATCTTTCTCTTTAAAAAAAAAAAAAAAGAACAAAACAGTGCAACTGAGAACCAAAACACACCACCTTCCTTTGATTTCCTGTTCCCAAATGGCCCACTTCCTGTCATCTTCCCCCCCTTTTCTCTTCACTCTTCTGTCCAAGTCCATGCTCAAGTTCCTGTACCCTCCCCCCCTTCCCCACCTCCCCTCCCCCCAACTTCCCAAGAGCACTCCAAACGAACTCTGAGCCACGGAGACTTGGAGCAGTGAGACACAGCCTCCCCTCCTTCGGAAACCTTCCCAGAGGAAAACCTGGACATCGGACCCACCCCACTTCGGGCTGGAGAATGGGACGCAGGCAGACTCGGGCCCGGAGGCGGCCCACCTGTGTGCTGCAAGCTCGCGACCAGATGATGGACCTCGGCTGCTTCTTTGCTCCCTTCCACCTGTGCCCTGGTGGGCCTGGAGTTAAGAGTTTTGGGCTGGGAAGGGGCCTTGGAGGTTGAGGGGCCTCAGAGGTCTGTGAGCCCGCTGAGTCTGTGTCTTGGAGGGGAGACGACTTCCTGGGGCCCCTTCCTGTGATGAGGGGCCACCGGCCTGTGCCGAGGTGGGGAAGGGCCCTTCTGGACCACCTGCGGTGGAGGGTGGTTGAACAGACAGCCTGACCCTGGGGACACTGCCTCGGGAGAGGGTAGCCTAGAGGAGGGGTATTTGATACTTTTCGTTTCCTAATTTAGCACTTTAAATGACATTAACTTATTTAATGGGGGTGGGGCGGGCGAGAATGAAGGGCCTAGATAATTAAATTCTGAGGCCTGGAGGGTGGGAAGGGTCTAGTTGTGAGGGCAATGGGGGCGCACAGAGGAGGCTGATGGGCGGCAGTGAGGACGGCTCTGACCCCAGGGGCAGGGTGACTTGACCTTCGACCATCCTCTTTTGAGATTTCAGGGTTTTCAGGGAAGGGGTAAGACACAGTTTTTAATGAGATGCTGGTGATCTCTGGGGAGATCCTTGACGGTCCCTGAGTCAGCTGCACAGCCAGCGCCCCCAGCCTGGGACACCCGCCTTGTGGAAGCTGACCACAGTGTGGCTAGGGGCCAGGTCCGGAGATGGGAGGGAGAAACCAATTTTGGTTCTCAGCCCCGGCCCCCCGGAGGGCAGAGGGGCGGGCAGGGAGATTCTGTGGGTGGGGAAGGAGGAGGAGGAGGAGGATGGCGGGAATCCCCAGGGAGCAGGGTTCCTATTCGGAGCACAAAGTGGGGTTAGCACAGGGGAGGGGGGCTGGGATTACACGCCCTTAGAAAGCACAGAAAGAAGGAGCCACGGGAGGGGCGGCACCTCCTGGACCCTGGGACCTGGTGGGCAGGTCCTCTCTTCCCGAGAGCCTGGGGGAGCTGTTGAGGGTTGGGGGAGGGCGGGAAAATTGGGTTGTGTTTCTTCATTTCTCTCTCTTTTTTTTTTGTTTTGCTTTTGTCGGTTCATCCTTGTTTTCTAGCTTTGAATCATTTTTGTACAGAGGCAAGTAAGCCTTTTTGAAAAAGAACAAAAGAAGAGGAAAAAAAATCCCTCCCGAAAAAAAAATACCCTGGAAAACAGAAAAAAAAAAAGGACCTCATAAATGATGCAATTACTTCTAATTGCAGGCAACTCTTTACATTTAAGTGAAGTGTCTTAACATTTTATATTGTTTTAAAAATATATTTACATATTATATATATAATATACGTAATATAAATATATATAAATATTTAAAAAAGAAAAAAAAAGAAAACCACTCTCTCCCTGGCCGCTGTTTTGGCGGGGGAGGGGGGCTGGAGGATGGGCACATCGGCCTGGCTTCTGTGGTCCAGCGACAAGGTTCGGTCTGATTGGCTGTACAGAGACCCTCTGACTTGGGAGGGGAGGGGGGAGTGGTGCCCCCTCCTCCCTCCACTCCATCACTCTGCTTGCTACTCTCACTTGCTCCCGCCCTCAGCCCTGTGACCTGAATGTGTGTCCCACCGTCATTGTCTTGAGTTGAATGTCCCTTTGTGGGGGAGATGGAAGTGGGGGGGAGTGTCCATCCACAAGGAGGCAGACGGAGGGACCCCTGGGCCCACCCCACCTGCTCACGTGGAGCCCAGTGGGATTCACAGAACTTTCTTTCGCTTTGGCTCCTGCATATTACGGGTTGAGAGGCGTTTGTGTGGAACTGTGTGCAGCCTGTGTGTGTGTGTGTGCACCACACAAGCACACTTACCCATGTGCGGGGAGAAGCATGTGTGTGCATGGGTGTGAGCTCCCGCAGCCGTGCTCAGGGAGGTGTGCACACATCGGTGTGTATAACCCGTATGGGCATCAGCACGTGCTCACCTGCATGTTGGTGGAGAAGAGCTTTGCGTGTGAGGATGCATGGAATGTGTGTGTGCAGACGTGTGTAGCTCCGAGAGACTTGAGTGTGTGGGCCACATATGTGTGGACGTACGGGTGCATGTGACCTGTGCATGAGTGTGCAAATGCGTGTAGACCCAGGTGTGTGGAAGTGCCTCTGGGTGTGTTCCACCGCCCCTGCACCACCTGCTCCGGCTGCCCTCCTGAGCCCCCGTCCCCACGGCCCTTGCACAGCCCACAGCACGTCAACGCCTCCCCAGCTGCATGCGCCTCGCTGCCCCGTCCATCAGTGTGTGCTTGACCAAGAGAAAACTGAATCGCCTGGGGCGACCCTTGTACCTGGTCCTCCCAGCCCCCACCCACTGTGCTGTGTAACTCGCACGGGGCCTGCTCTCCTGCCCCCTCCACAATACGCTGTTTCCCCAGGAGCCTCAGGCTCTGAGAGGGGTCCCAGCTGGGGCCCCCCCGGGGCGAGCCCTGGCTCCACACCCTGCCCGGTCCACCCCGTAGGGCCCATGTTGGTGTAGCAGTGATGGCTTCTGTGGATATTCTGTGACCTCTGTCAGTGTAATTTGACAATTTCTAAATGGAAAAGGGTTGCTGTGTTTTCTCTGTCTCTTTTTTAATGTCCTTTTTCTTCTCCCCACTTCCTTGCTCTCTTTCCTTTTTGGTTTTTCTAGCCGAGTGTTTGGGGCTTAAATAAAACTTGTTTCTTTTTCCTCTCCGGATCTCTTTCCTATAGGCTGCTGTCTCATTATTTCTCAGTTTCACCTTGGAAGGTGCTGGGATGGATGGGGCAGGGGATGGGGACCCTAGGCAGCCAACTGCCCGGCTGCCTAGCAGGCAAGGCTCAGGGCAGGAGGGGCAGAAACCCCCACAGGGCCTCCGTTGCCCCCCAGGGCCCTGCAAACTGACATCATCAGGATGCTGGAGAGGAGCTCACTAACTTGTGAGTGCTGGCTCTCGGCTAGGTGACTCACCACCGTCAGAGAGGTCGCTACTGGCATTTACTTACCGCTTGTGAGTGACAAAGCCAAAGACCTTAGGTGTGTGGCTCAGAGTCACACAACTGTAGGATGCAGTCAGGACTTGAGTCAGCTCTGCCTGGCCCCAAACCCAATGCTTCCCCCCCCAAACCAGGTAGGGTCTGATTGCCTCCAGGATTCCCCAGGGTTGGGTCTCCGCCTTCTGCCCTTTGAGCGGGATGACCCTTCATGGTGTCCGTTCATCCTTTCAAGAGCAGCAGCTCTCAAGCCTTTTTAAAAAAACTGTAGCTCATGGTAAGAAATACATTTTTCATCTCAACAATTTTGACATGCACACGCACAAACACCCATCTATTTAGTGAAACAGTGTTTTTACAGTGCACTCCGGTTTTCTCTCTTAAATGCTAAACACGTGAGTCACAAGCCACTAAATTGATTTCATGACCTTCCAAGGGGTCAAAACCCCCAGTTTGGAACATACTGTCTGCAGGTCTAGTTCCAGACCCCATCATGTTGCATTTCTGCTTTCTCCTCCTCCAGGGCCTCCTGGCTCCACTTACCCCAGGGTCTCCTCTGAAACCGAAAGACCCCTGAAGGAGATTTATACTTGGTTCTGATTGGGTAGGGACCTGGGCCCTGACCCTGTAGCCAGCAAGCTGCCCGAACCCTTCCAGGTCACCACACCAGAGTCTAGCCTGCCCACCACTGAGTGGGCTGGATGTCCTGATGGGGCTTTTTAGGTTTTTCCTGGAATTCTGAAGTCTCTATCATTGTTCCAGCGTGTTCTAATGGTCCTTGAGACTGCCCTTCTAGGCACTCTCTTGCGTGGCTGAGGCCTGGGGTGTTACTGGGTTTCCTCTACCTTGACCCCAAACACCAACCCTTCTATCCTGGGAAGTGATGACTGTTATCTGAGTCTGCCTACAGCGACCACGGTAGTGAGTAGTGGAGACCATGTTTGAGAGGGTAACCAAGCCCTGGGGTCACGTTTGAATGGAGACTTTAGGAATAAGTGTCTGTGTGGAAGCTGGTGGCTGAGTGTCCCAAGCAGAAGGGCCCTCAGTGAGAAATCACTTGTGGCCTCTAGAAAATGAATGAAACCCAAGGAGAGTAATGGAGGGGGGAGGGCGTGCCCTGAGCCCAGAGCAGTGGGCGGAAGTCCCGTCACTGGAGGCGCTGCGGAGGGGGGAGGGGCGATACAGTAAGAAAGGTGGGTTTCGTGGAGCTGTGGGAAGCATTTGGAAGGTTTCAAGTAGGAGAAAGACACGGTCTGACACTGTTTTAGAGGTTAGTTCTGGACACTGGAGAAGAGACGGGCAGGGGTGAGGAGTGAACGCAGACCCAGCCTTCGAGGGCAGGCCCGCTGGTGGCGCCCAACGCAAAGCGAACAAAAGAGTTTTGTTGATACTTGCGACACTCTTCACTAGCACTGGGCGTTTGTTTGGTCCTCGCCACACAGGTGTAGGTGTCATCACCTTCATTTTACTGATGGGGAAGGCGGACTGAGCCAAGTCAGGGTCTGACCGGCCTCAGGCTGGCCTCGGCTTTGGACCCTGAATGGTAGGAGGAAGGGGACCGCTGCACCATCGGACCCCCGGGGAGGCCCTCCTGCTCTCTCCCGCACGGTCTGCGCATCTCGCCCGGATGCGTAAACCTGTCAACACAGTTTTGGAATTATTGCTTTATGCAGTTGCTTTTTAAAGACAAAGAAAGAAAGGAATTACAAATAAAAGTGTTTACACGGTCCTTCACACTACCTATGTAGTGCTTCTTACTGGTGTTCTTTCTTTCTCTGTGTGGATCCAAGTTACTGGCCTCATGTAC